TAATACAGGTTTGCCAGAGAAGACATTCTGCCCCTGCAGCGATGCTTGCCACAGTCACTAGCCTGCCAGCTTGCCCTGCAGATTGCAAACTTGCCAGTTCCAGTGATGTGAGCCGATTCCATAAATTCCCTAAAACCTCTGCCTCTGTCTTTATCTACCACTACACTACACACGTGCCCTGTGCCTCCAGCCCACTTATCACCCAAGCCAGCACGGCCATGGGTGAACCTGACGGGGGTGGTGGTGAAGGATCAGAAAAGACAGACAAGAGAATAAAGCTGGGCGTTAGGTGAGACGCTGCCCTCTCTGCTGGAGAGACAGCGCCACGGCCTGCAAGCCGAGTCTTTATTTTATAGCCAGATTCCACGAGGCCAAGTAAGGGCGTGATCAAGGTGTTTACAACGTTCTCGCGGGTTTCGAATCTACTCAGTTACCTGCACCTGATCAAGCTTTGTTTACTTGCTGCGGCTCCCACAGCCCATATCACTCAGCCATCTGGGAGCCGCTCTCCGCACTTACCTTTCTCTGTTTCACCTGCCCTGGGTCCGTGGGCCTGCCCTGCCTCCTGACTGTCCGGGTAAAGGGTATTTTACCTGCGAGGCCCCAAATAGTTTTTGGATCCTGGTCCTGGTCAGGCTTTCGGGAAGCCATCTACTGACCTGTGGCCAACAGGACTCTGTCTGTGGCTTGAGCACATGGAGAGCTGGTTTGACCCACTTCTCTCTGCTACTTTCTATTTACCTGTAGCATTTAAAAAAATGTTTTTATTTATTTCAGAGAGGAAGGGAGAAGGAGAGAGAGAAACATCAATGATGAGAGAGAATCATTAAGTGGCTGCCTCCCCCCACCCCCCCAACACACACACACACACACACACACACAGGGGAGGGAGCCTGCAACCCGGGTATGTGCCCTGACTGGGAATCAAACCATGACCTCCTGGTTCACAGGTTGACGCTCACCACTGAGCCATGCCGGCTGGGCTACCTGTAGCATTCTTGACTGGTTGGTTCATGGCTGATTCTGTCTTTGGTAAACCCTTCATTCATCTCCTGCTTTCTTTGCTCGGCATCCAGGCCTAGTCCTCTAAGCGCTTACCTCTCAGCACCAACCTTCACTTCTGAAACCTGTGAGCATTGATTCCGCTTCATCCACAGCCAGATAGGACCCCCATCTCCTCCGGCCTGTACGTCCTGCGGGACTGTTTTAAAAAGAAGGATTTATGGTTAATTCTATCTCTCATTTACCTTTTGTAATATCTATGGACCCCAAGATATATTTTACCCTATTTAACTCCTACAACAACCCTACTTAATACATAGCATCCCCATTTTATAGAATTGAAAATTGATACATAGAGAGATGATGTAACTTGCCCCAGACCACTCAGCTTTGGGATGGAATTCAACGGTGGGCAATTGAATCCAAGGCCTGTGCTCTTAGGGGTATGTGAAACCCAGCAATTATCACGGGGTCGGGAGCGAGGACGCAAGAAAAATGAGGCAGAGACATAAAGCGAAGCTGGGAATCAGATGGAAAGTATATTACTATTATTAGTGCTTATATATTATATATATTATTAGTTAATATATGTCATATTACTTCATAATATATTATTACCCCATAGCAAGAAAGTCCTGCACATGTGCCACGGGTGGGCCCCAAATTTGGCTCCCAGCTTCTGGCAGCCAAACGCAGCGGGACCTCATCTGTATTTCAGCTCCCTTGCTGAGCAGAGAGGGCTGACAGCTCATGGTGTCACTATAATCAAACACACATCACCAGCAGCACCCACCTCCCCGAATTCTTTCTCTCCAGGCTTATCATGCACGTTTTCCCTCATATCGAGGAGCCCAGCACTCCCAGATGCCTGTTGCTGCAGGATGGCAACATTACTTTGCACTTTGCAGGAAAAATGAAGAAAAGGGATAAATCTTTCTCTCCTTGCATAATGATTCGGTATTGGCATTACATTGTAAATTCTGAGAAAGCTGCAACGTTGAGACTTGTATATCTAATGGTGCCCAGTCTAGTGTGATGCTAACTTCAAGCGATGAATCAATAGCGATGGTGTGGAACAAATATGAATATTGACGAATGCTGAAGATGGGTCCCCTGGCACCTGCTTGTTGCAAGAGGGAGGATCCATTTCTGGAGAAGATTGCCAAGGATTCAGTGGTTCTGAGCAGGGGTGGGCAAACTTTTTGACTCCAGGGCCACAATGGGTTCTTAAACTGGACCGGAGGGCCGGAACAAAAGCATGGATGGAGTGTTTGTGTGAACTAATATAAATTCAAAGTAAACATCATTACATAAAGGGGTACGGTCTTTTTTTTTTTTTTTAGTTTTATTCATTTCAAACGGGCCGGATCCGGCCAGCGGGCCGTAGTTTGCCCACGGCTGTTCTAGAGGTTGTGCAGTAGGAGGGGCATGCGATCTGAACTCTGGAGTCAGACCTCAGAGGCTCTACCACTGAATAGCTGTGTGACCTTAAGGAAGTCCCTTAACCTCTCTGAGCCTCAGGCTAGAGAAATGGAACACTCCTATCATGTGAGATTAAGAGGCCTAAAAGAGGATGTTCCTGTGCTTGGAGTATGATTCATTTGCTCATTCATTCATTCATTCATTCATTCATTCATAGCACTGTTACTGGGCGTGTGCTGTGGGCCTGGCACTCACCTCTGTAAACAGGACAGGCCGGCACCGGTAGACTCCTCTCCCCGCCTCTTCCTTCCTGAGGACGGCAGTTCCTGCAGCGGCTATTTGATAATAGAGGCTCTCCAAGTCCAAGTTGCTAAGGGGAGATGGGGCCCAGCAGGGGACTCTGGGGTGCAAGGACCCTGTGTAAAGGCCTCCTCCATCCGGTCTGTGTCCCAGCCAACCCCAGGGCCCCATCAGACCCTGTCAGAGGCCCTTCTCCACTAACCACACTCTTGGCAGGAGCTCGCCAGGGCCACAGGTCTCTGCTGAGAAACCATCCCACCTTTCCACTGCACCCAGTGCTTCGGTCTGCGTTTAAAAGAGAAGCGGAGGATGGTTTAATGTCAGTAACATTCGTCAAACGGCCCATGGCCCCTGCGCTCACAAACCAACCCTCCCTGCAATGGGAGACAATGCACTAATAACACACAGGCCTCAGCAACGTGGTGCCTGCTCTTCCCGGCTCTTTAGGCTGTTGTGTTTGCATTTTTCTCACCCTCAGGGGCAGCATTTGCATCTCTCCTGTCTCTTAGGAAACGTGTGTGTGTGTGTGTGTGTGTGTGTGTGTGTGTGTGTGTGTGTGTGTGAGAGAGAGAGAGAGAGAGAGAGAGAGAGCACCATAAACGCAGAGGCTGTGGAGTGAGGGTGATAATTTTCTCTTTGAATCTACGACAGTTCTACAACTCCAGCACGCACTGTATCTATGAACAGTCACTTGTTTCCATGCTTCTGTCTTTGAGCCCCAGGCCCCATTCCTACAGCGTCACAGTCCATCTAAGACTGGCCACCAGGCCAGCAGGGTCTGCATCTCCCTCATCCGGCTGGCGGCTCCGTGAAGGTGGCAGCTACCTCCACCATCAGACCGGTGGCTCTCTGAGGGCAAGGGCTGCTCCTCCTCCTTCAGGAGTTTTCACTCCCAGTGCCAGGCACACAGCGGGGGGTGGGTGGGGGGGGGGGCAGAAACCAGTTCTGACCTCGTTATCATGAAGGGAGTGACCGGCAGTTCTGGCGGCTCAGCTGAGATGTCAGAGGGGCAGGTTGTCCAGTTATCCTCACCCACGCCCTTCACCGGCCGAGGGTGGAAGTGTCACTCACACACTTTGGGGTATGAGCAGGAAATATAGGAAAACGGACGTCCTCAGGTCAGCCTAACTGCATATCTTTTTAAACAAAAAATATTTTAATTTATATTAGAGAGGAAGGAAGAGGGAGCGAGAGATAGAAACATCAATGATGGGAGAGAATCATTGATTGAGCCCACAACCTGGGCATGTGCCCTGACCGGGCATGGAACCGTGACCTCCTAGTTCATAGGTGGACACTCAACCACTGAGCCATGCAGCCAGGGCCTAACTGCTTATCTTCTCCCTCTCGCTGTGCTGGATCTAAAGGCACCCATGGCCTGGCACCTTTCCCCTGACCCCTTTCATCCCTCAACTGGATATCAAAGAAAAACAACAAAAATACCCCTTTTGTGGCATGGCTCAGACACTCCATTCCCAGAGTCCACACACTGCAAGGCTGATGAGGGCGGATCACGTCTTTCTCATTTTCCCCCCAAAAGTATATTTTTATTAATTTCAGAGAGGAAGGGAGAGGGGAGAGTGAGATAGAAACATCAATGATGAGAGAGAATCATTGATTGGCTGCCTCCTGCACTCCCCCTACTAGGGATCGAACTCGCAACCCCAGCATGTGTCCTTGACCGGGATTAAACCCGAGACCCTTCAGTCCACAGGCCGATGCTCTATCTGCTGAGCCAAACCAGCTAGGGCATCTCTCTCATTTTTAATTTTATCCCCGGGCACTTGCCACAATGCCAGCCCATGGTAGATGCTTAGTAAGTGTTATGTACTAATGAGTGAATGTCATTTTCAGGAAGGGCTAGGGTGGATCGCCTCATTCTTGGGAGGCCTTATTCACTCCTGGGAAAGTGCCACAACCCAAAGGGTCTGGCACTGTCACCCTTTTTGGAAGAAAAGCTATATTCTGGGGTCTTGGGGCTAGAGGGCAGTGTTCACCTATTGCTGCAAGCAGAGCAGCGTGTGTGTGTGTGTGTGTGTGTGTGTGTGTGTGTGTGTGTGTGAGAGAGAGAGAGAGAGAGAGAGAGAGAGAGAGAGAGAGAGAGAAAGAGAGAGAGATGACTGGACATTAATGAGCTCTGGCTCCACAGAGAATTCTAGAAGTCCCTCAAAACAACTTAGCTCATCTCCCCGAGATATCCTGCTTCTTAAATATGCCAGGAAAAGTTCGTCTGCGTCTAGGCTGCTGAACAATCAAGTTAATTTGAAGAGTTAAGGTATTTTTTAATCCAGTAAATTTTATTTATATATAACAACAGTACAAATCGCGTCCTTGGCTTGCAAAATAGGAGTGTTTCATATTTACAATAGGTACACAATAATATATTAGAATAACAAAAAAACCTATTTTATTGGAACATCTTAAATACTTCATTTTCTTCCAGTTTTATTTTTTTAATTTCGCAACACCTGTAAAAACAAGAAAACCAGACAACGATCGCTGCATTTTCTTAAAAATATAGCTATCACACAAATTCCAGTGTGTCAGGAAGAGTGGGCTTGGGGAGGAGAGGTTGTGGGCAGAGGCTCAGGCCCCTAGTGTCGTGGTACAAGGAGCTGGTCCCTTCCTCCCAGACACACCTGAGGACATCTGCTCTGGATGGAGGGCACTAGTTTCCATTTTGCTCTCCACCTGCAATGCCAGGAAGGAGGGTAACAAGTCAGGGCCTGGACCGAAGCCCAGAGGACCGCCCATCTTCCTTGAGGCTGGGACGGGGGCAGGGTGAGCTGCGGAAAGGGGGGGGGGCGGTCTGAAGGCGGAGCTTCTTTCAGGTGAGGAGGCCGGATGAGGGGGTCCGGGGAAGCCAGAGTCTCAGGTTGCCTTGCTGGGCTGCTGTGCTGTGTGACCAGCAGTGGGCTGATCTCTCCCAGGTCTTTCCTGAGTCCCAGACTGAAACTTGGTCTTTCCTAGGTGGCATCGCTGAGCCCAGTAGCTAAAACTTCACTCCTGGGGGAAACCGGGAGAAGGGAAGAGAGGAGGGAGGTTGGAGAGAGGGGGAGGATGCTGCCAGTTTCTCAGAGCTTGCTCCTGGGGCTCCCCAAGGCCCTGAACTCCATCCCCGAGTCTCGCTGTGGGATCCACTCCTACATGGACCCTGTGTCTGTGCGGCTGCTGGCGTTTTCTCACCGTTGGAGCCCCTGGGTCTCCTGTCTGCAGCCAGGCCTCCCCCAGAGAAGCTGGCTCAGTGTTTACCGGCTGCAGGTTCACGGGGGCAGGTGTGGCAATAGGGAAGCGCCTGGAGATTTAGCGGACGAGGCTTTCAGGCATTCTCTAGGTGTTCTGCTCGGGCCATTTGCAGTCTGTCACACCCATCCTTACTTCTGCATGCGCAGCGGGGCCATTTCTTGTCCTCATTTGGTGGAAATGAAGAAAGTCCAGGGACTCGAGGAGCAGGGGAACTGTCGCCACAAGAGACAGTGGTAATGGAAACGAGGGAGGCTCTATTGCCCAAGTGATGTTCCCAGAATAAGGTAAGGCAGCTGGGTAGGTGGGCTTTCTTCTCTCCTCCGGCCTCCTTGCTTAGAAGACTCCTGCCCCCTGCAGGCGAGGAAGCAGAACTGCGCCTGCTAAGTTGGTGGCAAGAACCAGTAGCCTGGAGAATGTAAACTTGCTAGAAGGTCCTTCTGGGTCTTGTTCGTTGCCTTTTCTCAGCACATAGAGCGGTGCCTAGAGAATAGTTACAGGTCTGAAGGTTCCCTGATTGAATGAATGAATGAATGAATGAAAAAAAAACACAGGTCCCTCCCTGTAGTGACCGTTGACAGCTGATCCACGAGTTCAATGACCGAGCTCTGCAAAGAGGGGTGCTCTTAGCCAGTGGTGGATGGGAAATGGTCCTGAGGGGTGCGCTGTGGGGAGGGGGAGAGGGGATGGCACAGCAGCAGTCGACACCAGGCTGAGGGTGGGAAGCAGCAGGCCGCTGGAGTGACTGGCTCCACCATGATGACATCTTGTCCATCTCCGTGTTGCCCAACACCTTTCTGGGGTCCTGTTTCTTTTCCAGGGGATCGTCTTCTGTGCAGATCAATAAAACACAAGCCGACTGCCTTTCCAGAGACACCTCCTTCCTGGCCTCCCACCAAGGTGGATGGCTTCATGTAGGGGAGAGGCCGTGCCTTTCATACTTATTCTTCACTCAAGGTCAAACCGTCTTCGAATTGGATAACAGTGATGAGGGAGGCCAACTGACTGCCTCTCCTCCCTGTTCCACAGGGTGGACTCCACTGGTTCTTGGTGATCCAAGGTCAAGAGCTGGTGGAGGAGGACTAGGTGAGCAGCCAGAGAGGGGGCAAGGCTCTACAACCACTTGCCCTCCTAGCCTGGCTTGAGTCCAACCGACGTTTCCTTTTCCTTAATTTCTTTCTCAGGGATGCCACTTCCCTTGCCAACCCAACTTCCCCAACTCAGAAACGAGGCCAAGTCTCTTGCCAGCTTTGGCTCTTCTCTCTGCGTCTGTGCGCCTGCTTTTTTCAGTCTCCCCCCCACCCCCCATCATCCTCTACCTTCTCCAAAAACCTTCAAGGAAGCACCCCCAGGGGCAGTGAGCGGCCACCAGAAGTAGCTGCTGGGAGGTGCTCAGGTGGATGCCCAGAGGTAAGGGATGGTTAAGATGCAATGGAGATGTCTAACTTGCTTTTGCTTCTTGGTGGAGCCAAGTCCTGGGTGCCAGTTAGAGCAGTGGTGTGATCAGAAAGCCTGCATGCAGAACTCAGAAGTAAAATGAGGCGAGCCAGAATTTTGTGTGTGTGTGTGGGTAGCACAGAGTTCCTTCTCACATTCCTCTTGCCCATATCTCCTCTCTTCTCATCTCCATAAATCATGGGCTCGGAGCTGATAAGCTTTGGGTGCTGTGAAGAGTAAACACTTTGGCTTAGTGCGGAAGGCCAGTCATTAGTATTTCTTTCAGGCTGTTAATAGAGCCCAGAGAAACTTTAACAGAAGAGGATTATCAGAAGAAAGTGGCCTTGGCATGGCTGGTCGGGAATTAGAATGAAAACAAGCAAGTTTCCTGAGTATTTCGCTGAATGCTTTTCTCTTCCCATTTGTCAGCTGCATTCAGGCAAGAAACTGGAGCTGGGAGCAGGCGATGTCTGCTGTGTGGTCAGCCCAGCAATCCAAAGCCACACGCCAGCGATGGAAGCCAGCCCTCCGGCCTCCCTCCCCCAGCCCTTTCCTGGGAATCCAATGTGGTCAGCAGAGCCTCTGAAAATTGGAATTGTTTGGAGGTAAATCAGGGCACAGAGAAGCTGGGGCCCAGAGTTAATTACAGAGGAAATGACTCTGGTCTTGTCTCCCTGGGGATGGCTGGTCCCGTTTCCCAGCATTGCAGCCCCTTGACAAGGAGGTGGGAAGGGGAGGTTGGTCCGCTCCTGCCTCCCCCACTTCCCATCCCTTTGCCTCTCTCTTGTCCTCCTTCCCCCACACTTCGGTGCTGCTTGTAGAGAAGTCGGAGCCGTCTGCTTGGATCCTTGCCAACGTGGGAGGCCCGGAAACCCGGATGGCTGTCCCGGTCACGGAGGTCTTGTCACCAACAGAGGGCCTTCCTCTTGGTGACTCCCACTGGCTCCCCAGAGTCCTCTGGACCAGGGCTTGGCGCGTGGGTCTCTCTGCTTGGAAACTGCACTCGGGAGAGCTGGTCATCATGGTTTTAGGTGCCAGCAGGAGAGAGCAGGAAAGGAGCCCAGCGAGAAACCGCCCACGTGTCCTTCCAACTCGTAAGGACAAGAGAGGCAGAAGTCATGCGGGGATCGACAGTCTTTTCTCCCCAGGAAGTGCGCCATCAGGAGCGTCCACATGTGAGCGAAGGGTTGTCTGCCCTCGCCAGGCACAAGAGAATGAAAGAAACAAAGCAGGACAGGAAAGCCCGCGGCTTCTGTAGCGCTGCCCTCTGCAGGTACTGCTTGCTGTAAACATGGATGGATGCTTGACTCTCGTTTTCTCTCTAACGGTGAAAACCACCAGCAGACTGGAACGGAATCCAAAGCCAAACACTCATGCCCCCGAAAGGAACCTCCTGGAGGCCTGGCCCCGGGCCTCCAGGCCCTCTCCCCAGGGTGCCTGGTTCAGGACAGTGACTGATGTGAAGGCGGAGCTGCGCATGTCCTCAGGGAGGCCAGTCGTCTGGTCTGAGAGAGGCCCACCTCTCCCCCACTTCCGCTAGGAACTTTGGGGAAACCAAAGGGAAAGGTACCAAAGATCAGCTCCTCATTTGTTGAGGTTTGGGATTAAATAAAACACACACACACACACACACACACACAGAGACACACACACAAAACAAACAAATAAAAAAGCATAGCAAAAAGCATTGGTACTCTAGAGACACATCTCTCGAGAGATGAGAATATACAGGTGTGTGGTCTGTAAAGCTCAATTCCCCATCCGCCAGGCTGAGCTGCTCCACGGCTTTGCAATTGGCGCAAAGTTCTGTAGTTCCCACGCTCTCTGGCTGCCGGGATAATTCCAGGTTTTACTGGCCTCTAGTTTTGCAAAGTGTTTGGTGCAGACTTGTGCTCATTCTTCTTCTCCTCCTTTTTTTTTTTTTTTAATGCCAAGGGAAAAGAAACAATTTCCCCTCCGATTTCTCTCAGCATCTCTGTAGGTGTGTTTTTTTTGTTTTTTTTTTCCTGGCATTTGGAGACAGGAGTTAGCTAAGGAAGGAGGGCAGGGGACAAGAGAAGAAAGGGGGGATAGAACCCAGAATTCAACAAAAGTTGGACGGGATTAACAGGGAAGCTTTCTGTTTTGTTTTATTTCTGGTTTTCCTTTTTCTTAAAAAAAATTAAATAAAGTTCTCATTATTTCCCCAATATACATCAAATGAGTTTTCATGCAAAGCAGCAGTCACAGAGGCGGAACTGTGTCCAGCTGGCGCCTCTCGGCTTGAAGAGCCGCCTCCTCCGCGGCCTGGCTCCTCTCCTGTGCGCCCTGGGGTGGACGACGCCCATGGTCTCTCCCTGCAGGATCCGCCTGGCCTGCGAGGAGACTTGGCTGGCGTGGCTCCCCTCTCCCCGGGATGGGGTCTCGGGGGACAGCAAGCTCTGGGGTCCGATCCCCTTCACTTGTCCTTCCTTCCGAGACGCCCAGCGTCACAGCGTTCACGGGTCCCTCTGCCCAGGAACGGGAGGCTCCGTCTCTCAGCTCTCCATGGACATAGCATTGATGAGCTGTTCCACCTTGTAGGCCAGCCGCTGGCGCCGGGCCTGCTCGTCCTGCTCCAGCGCCCCGATGAGCTGAGGAACAAAGCAAAGGCGGGGAGACTTCAGGACTCAGGACAGGAGACGCATTTCAGAATCTTCCATCCTTCTATCTGCCTTTCCCTTCTGCCCTAATGAGCATAACCTTAAGTAATGTATATGCTTAACTGACTATGTCTGTATATCTGCATTTATATATGTATGTGTGTATAGATGTATATATTATGTATGCATGTGTATATATGTATGTGTATGTAGTATATGTTATGTATGCATATATGTATATATATAGGGACCCTGGACAGCACAGGGATTAGGGGTGCTGACCTCCCAGATAGAAGATTCTCGTATAATTACAGTCAACCCTCTGCATGGGTGGTTCCCCAAAGAATGTTTCATCTCCAAACAACGTGGGTTTGACCGGTGCAAGTTAGCGGAATTGTGGTCAAGTGAAAAAATCCACGTGCAAGTGGATTGTGCAATTCAAACCATGTTTAAGGGGCAGCTGCGTAGCTAAGGTGTTTGAAAGAACATCTGGCATACAGGAAGTGCTATGCAAGCGTTAGTTACTGTTGTTATCATCGTTATCATTACTGACACCGCTTTCAGGCACAATGCTCATGTGTGACAGGTGGATTCCCCGAAGCTGTCCCGTGGAACTGCCACTCATGTGAGGGTCCACCTGCGTCTCTGAAATGTAACTGGCGGGCTGTGCCCTAGTGCGCACCGATTCATTGTTTAAGGAAGAATGAAGTTAACCGCTCAACACTTTCCACTGGAAAACAACAACATTGCTAAAAGTGTTATTTATTGCGTGACTTCGAGTGAAAGACGAGGCGATGTGTAAGGAAGTGCTGGGTGGGTGGGGCAGGCGGGGCTGCCTTTGGAAGGATGGGGGTGATTTTGGAGCACAGGGGTTTTTGCCTCCATGGATGTGTTTTCTAAATGACCCTCTGATGCTGCTATTTCAGGACGGGCACAGGCGTTTGTCTAACCGCCTGGCTTGCTGCCTGTGGGTGTCTGTGCCCCGGGGCCCTGTCTTACCTCTTCGCTGTACTTGCTGACGTAGGAGTAGATCTCATTGAGGGCACTCAGCATGTGGAACTCCACAGCGTGCAGGCGGGACTGCTCGGCGAGGTAGGCGTTCATGTCCTGGTCGCTGATGGCGGGCAGCTTGGCGATGTCTGCATAGTATCTGCCGTGCAGAGGACAGGCTCCTTGAGTGGGGGCTCGCCCGGACCTGGAGCCCCTTGCGAACACGAGGAGTCCCCATTCACTAGCGCCTTCTTATTTCTCTCCTGATGTGGCTTCCTCTGGCCTCTTGCCTCAATCTGAGGCCCCCTAAGGCCAGGTTCCATCTATCCGTGAGCTCCTGGCTGCAGTGCCCCCCAGTGGTGAAAAGCCCAGACTCTGAGCAGAATCCTTATATTCAAATCTCAGATCTGCTACCTGCTAGCTGTTGAACCTTGGGCAAGTGACTCACCCTCTCTGTGCCTCAGTTTCCTTATCAGTAAAATGGGGATGATGATACTACCCACTTCACAACTCTGTTGGATATTTTAATGGGACGGTACAGACAAAATCTTTATCACAGTGCTGGGTGCTTAGCATGTGCTCAATAAATGGTAATTAGGATGATAACAACCTTGACCTGATTTCAAAGGGCACAAAGCTTCCTTTCCTCCCCCCAGCAGGCAGTGTAGCCAAGGGAAAGGATAGAGCAGGCATAAAGGTATCAAACACAGTTGTGAGTGCTGGGTCAGTGAAAGCCACAGGGTGGGGACAGGAGCAGGCAGCGGGCAGGGGCCTGTCCTCGGTGCCACTGACCTCTCCACCCAGCTCTTGTAGCTGGGGATGTCCTTGGCATACAGCAGCTTGTTGGACGGGGAGTCCTTGCCCAGCCGGTGCTCAGACGTGGAGCAAGAGTCCATGAAGGTCTGGGCCACCACGGAGAGGCAGGCGTCCGTGATGCTGCCTTTGTGGATGTCAAACACGAACTGGGGGTTCTTGATCACGTTCACCCAGAAGCGCAGAGGGAGGCTGGGGAAGAGGCGGAGCAGACCCTGAGGGTTGCACCTCGGCTGCCCTCACCCCTGATGCTGGCCACTAATATTCCTCCCTGGCCCCCAAATTCAAGTTCTCTCTCCAAGGGGCAAGGAATGGAATGACAGAAAACTAGTCCAGCCAGGCCTGCAAATTCAGCTCAAGCTGCTCCCGATCCTGAGAGACCACTGCACCCTGATGGGCTGACCCTGCTCTCTAACAGCTGGGGGTGGGCGAGGGGCGTTCTGTTCCTTCCTGGAAGCCGTTTCCAAGGGCCTCCATGCCCCGGGGCAGCACAAGTACAGAGAACGGCACAACTTTCTCAGGGCTGCAAACAAAGCCACCAGGCTCCCTGAGTCCCTTCACAGTGCCCATGGCCATTGTCGGGAAGGGGGCAGCCCGAAGCCCCAGGCAGGGCCTCCGAAGGGCACAAAGGGCACCACCTGTGCTCCCCGCCCAGCCCAGGCCTCTTCCCAGGGCAGCCCCGGCTTCTTGGGCTGAGGAATGGGCTCCCTGGGGGCAGGTCTTTCAGGACTCTCCCCAGGGCTTTCCTGTGTCTCAGGCAGGGGCACAGGGAGCAGAGGAGGCCATTGTTGGCGTGGAAAGGACCCGCTGTAGCTCCGTTTTTCCCACCCCAAGAGGAACCCATCAGTCCTTAGGAGGGTCCCTTTGGCAAAGTGGGAATTCATCATCGGAGCAGAATGCATTTTCTCCGCTCCTCAGGCCAGGAGGAGGGTAAGCCCGGTTAGTCCCCTTCAAACCCAGAACAGCTGCTGTTTTTTCCTGCCTTTCCCAGCTCTGCCTTCTCCTCCAGCTGCCTCCGGGGCCTTAACTCTTTTGGCTCCTCTGTGGAGTGAGCGCTGTCCTCTGGCTTGTCCCTCGGGCTCGAGGTGATGGTCCAGCCACCCAGCCTACCTCTCCTCTCCTGTTTTCATCTTCTCTTGACTCAGATGGACCCCAAACTTTCCCGAATATCTTAGTCCTGCCAAGACTGGGGAAAGATCTGCCTTGCCCACTCCAAGCCCTTCCTTTACGCTTTCTGCTTATCTTCCAAAATAAATGGTAATTAGCCTGGCTGGTGTGGCTCAGTGGTTGAGCACCAGCCTATGAACCAAGAGGTCGCGGTTCGATTCCCGGTCAGGGCACATGCCCAGGTTTCAGCTCCATCCCCAGTAGGGGGTGTGGCAGGAGGCAGCTGAGCAATGATTCTTTCTCATCATTGATGTTTCTATCTCTCTCTCCCCATCCTTTCCTCTCTCTGAAATCAATACAAATCTATTTAAAATAAAAAAATAAATGGTCATGAGGATGATGGTGACCTGGCTTCCCATAACCTGGGAGGAGCTGCCCCCACTGAGAGGTGATGCATGTCTTCCCCCCTCCCTCCGCCAGCCGTGGGGACCTCCTGACAGTCTTTCTTTGGGCATTGGGGGCTTGAGTCTGGGTAAGGGGACTCCCCACCACCACCGCAGGGGAGGGAATTTCTATGCCTTGGGCCTGGCCTGCCACAGGAGGCACTGAGATGGGGAGAATCCAGACTTTTCTTTTGATTTCCCTGAATTTGCCTACTCCTTGCGCTGGACTGGGATCCTCCCTCACAAAGGAGACATCCATGGCCCTGTCCCTGGGGACACAGGCAAAGGGCCTGCCCAGGTGAAGTGCACTGCGGGCTCCGCACCCACGAGCACGCGAGTCTCTCCACTTCACTCCCCTGCGATCAAAGCTGCAGGCTCCGAGGGGCTCAGCGGCCATGACACACCAGAGAAGGAAGGGACAGAAGAGACCGGAGTTGGGTATTTCCAACGTGTTTTGCTGGTTGCTAGGACTTTGGATTCCCAAATAACAGCCGGGGCCCATCTGTGTCGGCTCTGTTTCTGACGAGACCGCTGGCTCCAGACAGCTGTGTGGGCTGCTTGCCCAGCCCCATGCCTGGACCTCCCCTCTCTACTCTCTGTCTCTTTCCTGGAGGAAGGGTTTTGACTCTGACTCCTGGCCAGGCCCGATCGGACCTGAAAGCCAGCCCTTCGCTTGGCTTTTGGTTCAGGTTCAAACCCAGGGGAGAGAGGTCTCATGCCAGCGGCCTGTGGGAGCTGCCTCCTGCGCTGGGTCTGGCTGCGGAGGTGACTTTCAGGGAAGAGAGGGCAAGCCTGCAGGACATCTGCCCGCTGCTTGCTGACAGCCACGGGGTACAAACTTGGCCTTCCGGGATCAGGTTTGCAGGGACCTCCTCCTGATCTGTGGGCTCAAGTCCACAGCAGGTGTGAGCTCTCTCCGGAGCATGGGCCACCTTCCTCGGGGCTCTCGGCTTAACTCAGGGCTCCCAGATCTCAGGAAGTGCCTTCGACTCTGTCCTACTCAGGGTGCCCGGCGCTGCCCGGGCTCTCAGGCTCTGCTGCTAGTTCTCAAATGAGGCGCTTTGCGTAGGTTCCCCCAGCTCCCTTTCCCTGAGAACAGACACCTCAGAGTCAGGGAGGAGGTGCTTCCCGGGAAAAGGTCTCCACCTAGAAGGGCAGAGCTCAAGTGTGCGCCCTGGTGCTGGGCCCCAAGCCAGGCAGGCCTCCCTCGGCGGCAGCGGGGGACCATGGTGGCTCTGCAGAGCATATGTGCGCTATTTGCCCAAGGCGCCTGGGCTTACCAGCCACCGCGAACAGGCTCCTCTGTCCCCCTGGCCCCTGCTGGCCCCAGCCCCTCCCACACACAGCTCGCAGCCTCCCCAGGGCTCCCCAGGGGTTACCAGTTGCTTTTCCAGGTGTGCCGCACATCTGTGTCGTGGATGCTGTGTCTGTCCGCCTGCTCATCCAGGAAGTCAAACATGTACTTGATGGCCAGGGGGAGGGCGCTGCCCCGGTGCACAGTGCTGAACAGGGTCTCGAACAGGTCATCCACGAACTTCTGCAGGGTGCCCTGGGGGAGGGGCAGGGGGGAGAAGATGAGGTGAAGGGAAGGGGAGAGAAGGGGGACAGCAGGCAGCAGGCGGGCAGAGCAGATGGTGCCTTGGACCCATCCCGCCTTGGAAATTTGTCTGCGACTCCAGCCTGAGCAGACAGTGGAGGGGCGGGGGGCGGGGAGGTGACTGTTGGGATGTCGGGGAGGCAGGAGGGCCAAAATGGGCTGCAGATTCCTGAGAAGCTCTGCTCTGGCGTGCAGCCACAGGCCACATTTATGCAGTGTCCATGCCAGGAGGGAAGACAGCGAGAGCTCGGAGTCCAGGCTTCCCATGGGGAAGGGGGTGCAGGCTGATAGGAGAGGGTGTTTGAAGAACCACCCGGAAGACTGGGAGCCTCCTGGCAGGAGCATGGCAGGGCCGCAGAGGGTCTGATAGGTGTGAAAAGGCTTATGATGTTAGGGGCCTGGGGTAAGTGGTGTCTGGAGTTGGGGCTGGAGTGAAGGGTCCAGATCTAACCCTCAGGAAGAACCCTGACCCACAGGGCCTTTGGAGGGTGTCTGTGGAGGGACAAGGCTGGGCCTGGGTCCCACAGTTCGAGGTTCCAGGAATACCTCTGCCGGCCAGGACAATGTCTAACCTCGGTGTCTCTTTGTTGGCCTCTCATTAGTCTTTTAGGCAAAGCAGAATTAAAGACACGTGGCTGGATGGTGTTTTTGGGTGCCATATCAGGAAGCAGGTCTGAGAGTTGGAACCTGGATGCCACTGTGCTGGAACTTCAGTGGCATTTTTGTGGGGCCAGTGGGGAGAGTATTTGAAACCTAGCCCTGCCTGGCCTACGTAGCCGTGTGGTGGCCACACTGACAGGCCTCTTAGTTCTCTGTGAGGGAAGCAGGGAGCAGCTTCACATCACAGTTTCCAGCAACGCAGCCCCCGCCCCCGCAACAGGGGCATATGGGATTGGGGAGTGGGGAGGAGCTTTCTCTGTGATTATTGGCAGGACCAGGCCTTCCTTCGTGCTTTCCCTCCCATTGTGGCCAGCAAGTGGGCAGAAAAGACAGCGATGGTGAGAGCCGGCATATCTGTCCAGTCAGCACCAATAAGAAAACCACAGTCTGTTCCTAAGGGGCTGGGGCAGATGTGGGAGGGTGATGCTGGGCCTAGGAGGGGGCCAGGAGCAGCAATCGGGCTATGATTTTTGCCAAAGGGAAGAAAACAGCAGTGGCTGGTCCCGTGGAAAGCCTGCTGGGAGGCCTGGGCCTGCTCGTCCTCTGGGTTCCCTTGAAAGACAGACTCCGTCATGTCCTCCCTGGGCCGAGCAGAGTAGGAGTTACCTTGGTGGCCAGCAGCCGGGTCAGGTAGATCTCCGACACCATCTTGCTGCCCCGGTCACCCTCCTTCTGGTCTCCGTGGTCGTGGTTCTTCACCAGGTGCCACACCTTGACCCCGCTCTCCAGGTCTGGGGTGATCATGGGGGCCCGGGACCGCAGACTGTCGGGGCTGCCTGTGTACCTGAAGGAGGAGTCTGAGGAGAAGGGGGCGGTGGAGGCCTGTGAGCAGCTGATTGCACCATCCTTGCCTGAAGAATCCTTCTAGAACCCCTGCCCGCTTGCCACACCCACTCGGTAGAAACCAGTTTCCATTGGAAGGGGACTCCTGGCTCCTCCTGTGGCAGGGGGGTGGGGGGGTGGTGGGGGAGAGGGGTGGTTAGGGATTCTTGGTTGGCATGAGGACAGCCTGAGAGCTTTGTGTAAAAGAGGATTCAGGAATTCTGGGAGCTGGAGAGACCTGGGGGATTTCGGAGTCCCCCGGCCCTGATGCTTCCAGCCAAGATGATCAATAGGTAAAATGTCAAACAAATATTTCCTCGAGGGCCTGGGGGAACCTGATACTCGGGAGCTGGGAGCTGTGATCCTCCCTCTTTGCAGTTCATGGGTCCAGAATCGGAACGGCCAAGGCCTTTGGAGCCGCTGGCCTCCGTCCTGAGGTGTCCTTCAGCCGGAGAGCCCAAAGCCTCAGTGCACAGGTGGATCCAGAGGAAACAGAGTAAGAGCAGCACCAGAACCTCATCCCCAGAGGGCACGGGGGGCCCTAACGCTCCTCAGCGTGGACAGGCTAGGACCGTGAACCGACTGCCCAACCTGGGACCCTTTTGAGAGCAAACGGGGCACTATTCCTACTCTCGCCAGGACAACAGACGTAGACTGGGATATGTGAACCTGCCCCATCCAGGTGCCCCTTGAGCTCCTTCACCAGGCCTGGGCTATCGAAGGAAGGGCACAGGCTCCCACAGCTCTGAGGAGGTGGGCTGCTCTGGGAACCACTGGACTAGGGAGGGAGGGAAGCTAATGAGCAAAGGCCTCTGACTGGAGGCAGCAGCAGCCGGGGCTTCCCGCCATCAGAAGGGACAGCGAGTGGTCCCTGGAGGGTCACAGGAGACCGGTCCTCACCATATCTGCTGATGGATGTCCGGGAGATGCTGGCAGAGGCGGGGATGTTGTAGGAGGAGGTCTGTTTGGGGACCAGAGCCACCACCGATCTGTCGGACACCTAGAAGGGTAGGAAAGGTACAGTGCGGGTGACTGTCGGCGTCTTGCGAGACTGAGTAGACAAGCACTTCTACACGGTTATGGAGAAGATGTGGAGCAGAGTGCAAGCAGGTCAGGAATCCCAGAAGTAGCAGGTTCCTGCCATTCAACATGGCAGCACTCCCACCTGTGGCTACTGAGCCCTGGGAATTTGGTTAGTTCAAACCGAGATGCGCTGTAGGTGCCTGAACTGAAATGTGCTACAAATGAATGTTCAGGCCCTGGCTGGTGTGGCTAGGTGGTTAGAGTGTTGGCCCATACACCGAAGGGTCGCAGGTTCGCTCCCTGCTCCGGATCAGGGCACATGCAGGAGGCAATAAGCCGATGTGTCTCTCTCACATCGATGTTTCTCTCTCCCCCTGCCTCCCTTCCACTCTCTCTCAAAAGCAATGGAAAAAATATCCTCAGGTGAGGATTATAAATAAATAAACAAGTGTTCGATATACACTGACTGGGTTTCAATGACTTAGTATGAATAAAAAAGTACAAAACTACCTCATTGATAATTTTTATATTTATTACATGCTGAAATGCTAATTATTTCAGATCAGTGAAATAGATATATTGTTGACATTAATTTCATCAGTGTATTTTTAGTAAAAATGTAAATGTGGCTTGCATCGTATTTCTATTGGGCAGTGCTGGGCTAGAACCGGTCCCCTTCAACCTTGTGAGTTATGGACAATGATGCCCATTTTTCAGAAGAGGGAATCAAAGCATCAAGGGATAAGCAACATCTTACAAGGTCACACCCTGAGCACCTGGAGAGACACCGTCCGCAGCCAGGTCTGCCGGCCCCAGAGCACCGGTTCTCCTCATTAATAAAATCCTCATTGGGATTTTATTTCCAGTCACACTGGTCTGAAGTCCATTTTCCTTTCTGGCTCGGATTTCTTTCTGGCCCGGGTCCTACAATGCCTGGGCCACCTTGAAGAGTTCCTCACACAGAATGGCTGCTCTTAGCGACTCGGAGAAAAAGACGCTGTCTTGCCCAGTTCTCTGCGAGGGTGCCCAGCGCAGCACCCAGCCTGGAGGGCAAGGGCTGATAAATGAGGAGCCATATTGAAGACATTTGGGGCCATTGTGATTTAAGATTACCCTCCATCCAATAAAAACGGAGAATCCCCAGAATTGTGATGATCCAATTAAACCCCTAACGCAGAGGGAATAAAATAGCTATAATAATGTTATGGGCCATAAAACATTCCTATTAAACCATTTTTTATTTTAACAATTTTTATGAACTTTATAAGTTTGATTTATAGCTGCACGAGTCATAAAACCATCTTTCTGGGTCTTAAATTGTCAGTCCTTCTCTCCCACCAAAAAAGAATTAGATGTTGGGAAGTCGAACTATAAATGAACATTAGCGCTAACGAGATTCCCTGATAGCTGGTTTTAGTGGTGGTGTTTAATTTTACCCTCCCCATAAATCTGCAGGAGCCCAGGAAGATGTTAACATCTCTCTGTTAATTAAGATTATGCAGATTTTCTGCCCTGGGAGCTCCAGGGACCTTTGACTCCGGGGAGGGTAACTAGAGGGCAGTCTTTGACCTGATGGCCTAAAGCTGCAGGGTCCTGCCTGGGCACAGGCCCTAGAGGTGCCAAGCTCCCTGATGCCCAGCTGAGCCGCCCTCAGGACCTCCAGCAGTTTGCAGCATCAGCACCAGGTCTGGAACCAGGGGGAACTCTGCACTCTGTCTTTCGGGAACTCTCCTTGCCCCTGACGGCCTAGAAATGATACTTTGAAAGCCTGGGGGCAGGAGGTTACACCCCCCAGAAAGGACAGATTATCTATCGTTTACCGCTTGTTGTCACCTAAAGGAAGAGTCACAGATGCCCCCGAATGAGCACAGTTCGACTCAATTCCAGGTCTCGTCACCAAATCTCTCGTCCTCAGTCTTTCTCTTGGCCAACAGGCAGTGCAAGTCCATGGTCAGGATGCCCAGCTGGGTCTGACCTTGGCTCTGCCACTTCCTGGCTACATTATTCCAGGAAAGCCACTTCACTGCTCCGTGCCTCAGTGGTCTCTTTTGTCCAAGGGATAATCATCTTGTCTAGGTCTGTTGTGCAGATTAAAGGCTGCGGGCCGAGCCTGGTGCCCCGCGAGCACTTGGTGAGAGTTGGCATTATGCTGTTATTATGAGCAGCGGCATCATCTCCGGCCCCCAAAGGGAGGAATACTCCCGGTGGTCCCCTGTCACTCAGGGCTAGCATGTGGGAAGTGCTGCGCATCCAGTAAAGCTCAGTAAATATTTGAGGAATGAATGAATACATGAATGATAAATGGCATCAGGGAATTGGAAGTGCTTTGTGTGACGAGCACTGTAAGAATAGAATATTCCATTCTTCTGATCGAGGGCCATTGGACGGACAGCCCAGTCACAGTGTTAGGGCAACACGGGCAGAGAAGAGAGGCCTCACTCCTGCCCTGGGGACACTAATAACTCGGGGGCAGGATGCTTACTCTGTTTGGCACTTTCTTCTCCAGCTCAAATTGGTTCATTACAACTGTTCTGCAGAATACATTAAGCACTGTGAAGCTGGGGTGGGTGGGATCAACACGAATGTTTGTGGCTCCGTGGATGTGAGTATGCATCCTGGGCACCTCACCTGTTGTTTCTAATCCTTCCAACCGCCTTCACAGTTGGATTGTTATTTTCATCACACAGATGAGAAGCCCGAGTTTTGGTGAGATTAAAGTCACACCACCGGTGAGTGGGGAAGCAGGGATTTCAATAAATACAGGTCACAAAGCCCTTTCTCCTCCCACTACAGCACACTCCCCCTATCTGGGGCAGGGATGCAGGCCCATAGGGGGATGCAGCTTGGAGAGGAGCGGCTCAGGGGTTCCCCAGTGCCCCTGGAGGCACCCAGTCAGCTCCAGTGGCTGTGAAGGTCCCTGATCTCCTGGTCATTGGCAACTCGGTGCCTCAGAGCCGAGCCTGCCAGCCCCCGCACCCTCCCGTGTGAGGCGCGGGAATAGGAGGATGTTATTAGTCAGGCAGTCCCAGCGGGCCTTGCAGCCTCAGGCACTTCCTCTGGTTGGTTTAATTTCCCTTGGTATCTCTCATTTTCAGCTTCTATTTTATAATTTTCCCTGAATCCCCACCTGCCTACCTGTGCTTACTCTTACAGGGGCCCGAGCCCGGAGTAGTTACCATAGGAGGGGAAGGAGGAGGGGATACCTCCTGGATCTTCTCTTCTTTTGCTGGGATTTTTTAAAAATTATATTTTCTTTCTTTAAAATGGTTTGTGTTTTTTTTTTGTCGTTGTTGTTAATCCTCATCCGAGGATATTTTTCCATTGATTTTTTAGAGAGAGTGGAAGGGAGGAGTAGAGGCAGAGAGAAACATCGATGTGAAAGACACATCAGTTGGTTGCCTCTCACACTCGCCCTGACCAGGACCAGGGATCGAGCCTGCAACCAGGATCACCCAGTCCTACCTTCTCTAGGGACCTTGACTAGGATCGAACCCTGGACCCTTCAGTCCACAAGCTAATGCTCTTTCCACTGAACCAAACCGGCGAGGGCTGGGATTTGGGGATTTTTTTTTTTTTATTGTTCATTCAACAGGCAGTTGAGTTCTGCCAGTGTGCTAAACACTTTACCTGCTGTACTTAACCTATTCCACAGGACTTTAAGGGGCAGGGATCACCATTAACTCTATTTTACAGATAAGGAGGACGAGAGCTTCAATCATTTCCCCAAGGACGTCATCGAGCAAGTGACAGAATGTAAGACCTGAAGTCAAGTCTATCCCAGTGGTCGGCAAACTGCGGCTCGCGAGCCACATGCGGCTCTTTGGCCCCTTGAGTGTGGCCACAAAGTTTCAATCGCACTGTACGTGCGTGCCTGCACGTGGTATTTTGTGGAAGAGCCACACTCAAGGGGCCGCAGTTTGCCGACCACTGGTCTATCCAATTTCCTGCTTTGCTGTGCGCGAGAAGCGTAAACTGCATGAGGCACCTACAGTTGGTTACCTTCGAGGCGGACTTTACAACATGCAATTTCCCTGCAGAGGCAGGGCCTCCAGGATAGCAATGCCTGGCCTCACCCCAGGCCAGTCAGTTTCTCAGGTGGGCCTGGTGCTCATGTGTTTGATAAGTTCCCCCAGTAATTCTAATGGGCAGCCGTGGCTGACAGTCACTGCTCTAGGATCCAGGAGGAGGGGAAAAGGAAAGATCAGAAAACCCCTTTGAGGCTTTTCAGGGCCGAGGAGCCAACCTTGGAGGGGAGGGGACATTTGGGACAAAGGTCCTGAAGCAAAGCCGCCTCCCACACCGAGAGGCCCCCCTCACCTGGTAATGCATCAGGGTGTTGAGCCGCTTCCAGTCGCCCTCGATCTTGGTGGTAATGTCCTCGTCTTGCAGCACGACCCTGGCGATCCGGCCTTGACGCCACTCTGGGTGGAGGGGTGGTGCAGGTCACTGTGAGGGGGTGGGGGCTGCCAGCCAGGATCACCCAGTCCTACCTTCTCTAGGGACCTGCAACCCCAGCTCCCTCGAGCTGGTGCATTGGTAGCACCTAAGGCATCTAGGCCTCCATGGGGTCCAGACAGCTGGGCAGACGTGTAGGCCTCACCAAAGGCGGCCCCATCTGAGCAGTAGTTCAGGCTGCCCCTCACTGGGCAGGACCCAGTCACGCCACAGCCCAAATGCCCTCCTTGGAAGCCACCCCCCCCCCCCGCCCACGCCCACCCCCCGCCCACACTCCAAGCCAGGCCTCCTACCCAAGTCCATGTCCACGGCCCTTGGCCGCTGGGAGTAGGGCACGTTCTTGTAGATGGCGTCGAGGATCTTCTCCTTGACCTGCGTGATGGTGTCACAGTTCAACACCTTCACTGGGATCTCTGGACTGTTCTCGTTGTCGGGGTTGACACAGTTCAGGATCTGCAAGTGGCCAGAGAGAGGGAACCGGAGGGAGTTGAGGGAGGAGACGAGGTAACTCTGTCCAAGGCCCCCTCCCTTTCTGGGGATGTGGGGTGCCTCTCTGCCTGTGCTTCACTTTCGTTCACCTCCCTGCCATCTGCCAACAACAACCTGAGCCATTCTGCCCGCCTGTCCTTTCTCAGAGGACCGGGACTCGACTTCCTAGCTCCTGGATGGCTGGGGGTTGCTGTGACCCTGGACACAGGCCTCCTGGCTTCTGAGATGGCCCCTTCCCCGAAGCTTCTCTATTAGGAATCCACAGACTCACGCTCTTTCCCATGATGCCAATTTCCTCATACTTAAGGGTGGGTGATATGTTTTCTCCACCCTATATTGTCTAGGGTAAACTGAGGCACCAAGAGCACTTTGGGCCCACCAACTGAGATGGCGAGAAGGCACCCAGGTGGTCTGCCTGCCCTTGGAGCACATGGACTTGCTCCCAGGCCAGTCAGTCTCCTGGCCTCTTTATCGACCCCCTCAGACTGGCTGTGTGGTCAGAGGGTGAGGTAGAGATCAGGGCAGGAGGTTGGCGCTGTCCCCCCGAGCTTCAGGCCTCCTCACCAGGGTCTTGTACTCGATCTGCTGGCGGATGAGCTTGTCCTCGCTCAGGGAGTAGCGGGCCTCGCCCGTGATGGCGTCGATGGGGCCCTTCTCCATCTGCTGCTTGATGGCGCAGTAGAGCATGAAGAGTGGCTCAGCTGCGCACTCCTGCGGGCACAGGCGGGGCGGGCGTGTGGCAGCACCAGCCTCCTCCCTCCTCTCCCGACCACCCGGCCAGGTGGGGCCCTGCTCCTGAGTGGTCCCCACGCAGCCCCGGGGGCAGGCCCAGAGGAGCAGCCCCCTATCTCGCTCTCAACTGCGGCTCCCGTCTCACTCCCACTCACCTTCAGGAACTTGTGCAGGAGGAAGGCAAACCAGTTGGTCAGCATCTTCTCAGCCACTGACTCTGTCCTGGGGAGGGAGAAGGGACAGGGACAGACCTTTAGGAGAGGTCTCAGGGCAGGGCCTGGTTTGCTGGGGGCACGGATGGACACAGGGCTGAGAGCCAGGACACCTGGGTCCTAGCAAACTCAGCCAATAACCACAGTGGGACCTTGGGCCAGACAGAAATTTCTTCTTTCCGGGCCTCAATTCCCCGTGATGAAGGAGTGGTGCTGCCGTCTGCAGATAAAGGTGCCCAGCCCCCCATCCCCCAGGGCTACAAAGAACCAGTTCTCCCTCCTCCCTCCTGTCCCTCTGGGATTGCTTGCATGCCTGAATACTGTACTCCAGTTCACACGTCCAGAAGGTACCTGGGTACCTGCCCTCTAACACTCAGAGTCAGACTGCCTGGGTTCAAATCCTGGCTCTGCCATGTACTGGCCGTGTGACCTTGTGCCAGTGAGCTCACCTCTCTGAGTTCCATTTCCCCATCTCTAAATCATCATCATCATCTACCCCACAGGATTGCTGTCAGGGTTGAGTGAGTTAATAGATGTAAAGTGCTAAGAATACCACCTGGTATCCTGCCAGGTGGGGTCACTGGGATCAGGTGGGATCTTGGATCCCAGCCCCTCTGGTAGAGAGCAGTGTGTGTGTTTCACTGAGGGGGGACCTGCTTCTGCAAGCACCACCCGTCCCCGCCCCCATCCTGGGCTGCAGGTCTGGGGACTTGGGAAGGAACAAAGCAGCTGTGACAGGTCCTCAGCGATGGGGACGTGGAGGGGCATTTTAACTCCCTGCACGTGGTGCAAATTATACCCTCTGGTTGCAGTAAATCCCAGGCATTTGCCAGGGCTGCTCAGCGATCAGGGCCTGGGAGAGAGTGCCGATGCGGGAGAAATTGCAGCTCTCTCCCGGGCCCCTCCCAGCACCTTCTCCTGCATTGTGCCTGAGATTAGCTCCAATTTAAATACAACCGTTCATAGTGAGAGTTGCTAATGCTCAGATTGGCAGGATAGAGGCTCAGTCGTCAAATAACAAAGCCATTCTTTCTCCCTTCTCACCCCACGTGGGGCCTGGAAGCCTGTGCCCTTGCTCAGAGGAGGCTAACGGGAAGGCGGCGACATAGGCGTGGTGCATTCCAAAGCTGTGCTCTGCTTCCCAGAGCTCCAGAGGGTGAGCTCTAGGGATGGGCCCCAACGTCTCCAGCCCTCTCTCCCCTGCCAGGAGAACGGCAACTGGGCAGGGGGCATGTGGTGGATGCTGGTGATTCAGGTCCAAGACGCTGGGCCCGGGAGGCACCGGCCACACCAAGTCTCTAGCCTGCTGCTGTCCAGTAGGGCCTTCTGCTGGATGCAAATGCTCTCCTTTGGCCGGGATGTGGTGACACTGGTGGAAGGTGGCTAGTGTGATGGAGGGGCTGAATGACACGTTTTGTTTCGTTGTAATGGATGGTCACATGTGGCTGCCATGTTGGACAGCACCGCTCTGGACACGCAGGGAGGGACAGAGATGGTGAAACAGGTGCTCTCAGTGTTGTTTTATCCCGAGGAAACTAAACAGCAGAGGCCATGTCACTGGCCCACGTGTACACAGCCAGTCGGTGGTGGAGCTGGAGTTCAAGCCCAGATCCGAGCCAAGGCCTGTGCTTCTCCATCAGGTCTAGCAGCTGCAGACACCCCACGGTGCCCGGGAGATGGATTCTGTTCTGTGGGATGTGCGCACACAGGCCCTTCCGGGAGGAACCCTCTGGTACCATCTACGGGACCTGCTCTCACGGGCGGTGTCCCTGGTCATACCCGCTGCCCTCCGGGCCTGGCCTCAGCTTACCTCCGGAGCAGCAGCTTGGGGTGGTTCTTGTTCTCCAGGTTCTTGTCGATGAGGTCGGAGAGCAGCTGCTTGAGCACGTCGGTGGCATACTCCAGGCGGCCCTGCAGGCCGGTCATGATGAGCGAGGCCACGTTGCCGCGGTCGCGCATGGAGAAGCTGCGCTGCAGCTCCAGGGTGCGGATGAAGGTCAGCAGGAAGACCTTGTTGTTGATGAGCTGGGCGAAGAGCTTCAGCGCCTTCTCCACATGCTGCTGCCCGTTGCCCTGCACCTGGGATGGGCGGGGGGGTGGGGGGGACACCCTCAGCGGACAGCTCCTGGCCTCCTGGCTCCGCTCCCCCTGAGGGTCTTCCCCCCACCCAAGAGGATGTAGGCATGGCCGGGCTCTGAAGGCCACAGTCTGCTCTGACCTTCTCCTGGGTTGGGAGGGTTGGGTTCCAGGCGGGGCCCTGGGTGCAGATGCCATCCACCTGATTCTCCCAAGGACATGATAGGAGACACCCCGCAAAACCCACTCCGTTGACTAGTCTCCCCTTCATCTCTGTCCTGATTTATCATCTTCAATAAGATAAACCAACAAACAAACTTCACAGAATCCTACATCTTTCCCTAAGCCACCTTCGATCCGTTGGAAAATGAGGCAGAATTGTAGTTAATGAATTCAGTTATTCACTTAAAAATGGCAAACAATGAGCCTCGCCCTGGAATCACCCCAGAGCCTGGGTGCCCCCCTGGCCGTGATCTTCCCGATTGGAACTGTGCCTGTTGGGGTGATGCTGTCACCAGCTGTTTCCCCTCCTCACTTTTCTCTGAGCTGCCGGGCCCCATCGGCCTGTCCTAGGACACCCAGGCGCTGTGTCCCTACTGTGTGGCTGGGCCAGGGAGGCGGGTGTTACCTCCAGCTCCCGCAGGACAGGATGGTCCTCGATGCCGGGGAATAGGACGCGCATGGCATAGGTACGATAGTCCAGGTAGGGGATTCCTGAGCGGTCCAGGTCGCTGGTCAGCTCAATGATGTCTGTCTGGAGTTCAGCAAAAGCTACAAAAGGGCAGCAGAGACAGGGAGGCTCAGGACGGGAACCCCAACAGAAAGGGGAAGGTAGGAGAAGTTTGTGAAGAAGGAGGGGGGTCTGGGAGTACAGACAGGGAGGGTTATAGGGGTACATCTCCAGTGGGGATGGGGTCTCTCCAGGCTGCCTTTCTTAGGTGGTGGGAATATGGGTGATTTCTATGTTACTTCCTTTTTGGTGTTTATCTATAATTTTTAATTTTCTTTGTACGTATGACAAGAAAAAGGAAGAACACCATGCTACAAGTGCTAAAAGCAGGTGAGTGGCCAAGCAAAGACCAAAACAGGAAGCTTTGACCCCTCCTTTTCAAGCAAGAGAATAAATCAAGATGCAAAAGCTTGGGGGACAGTAAAAATCAAAACCACCATGAGATAGTGTGGCTATTACAAAAAAATGGAAAATAACAAATGTTGGCAAGGATGTGGAAATATTGGAACCATCACATATTGCTGGTGGGAATGCAAATAGGTGCTGTCACTTTTTAAAACAATTGGGCAGTTCCTTAAAATATTAAACAGAATTACCATGTGACCCAGCAATTCCGCTCCTAGGTATCTACCCCAAAGAACTGAAAGCAGGAATTTGAACAGATACTTGTACACCCATGTTCACAGCAGCATTATTCACAATATTGGGGTGGAAATAACCCAAATTTGCAAGATGAACGGAGAAGCACAATGTGGTCTATACAGTCAGTGGAATATTCTTCAGCCTTAAAGTGGAATGATAGTTTGACACGTGCTACTACATGGATGAATCATGAAGACATTAGGCTAAGTGAAATAAGCCAGGGACCAAAGGACAAGTACCATATGATTCCACTTATGTGAGGTCCCTAGAGTTGTCAATCTCATGGGACAGAAAATACAATGGCAGTTGCCAAGGGCTGAGCAGGGGGGCGTTATTGCTTAGTGAATACAGTGTTTTAGTTGGGATTGAGAAAGTTCTGGAGATGGATGGTGGTGATGGCTGCACAACGTGAATGTACTTAATGCCACGAAACAGGAGGAGGAGAGAGCCCTGGGGTGTAGAGATAGTGAGGGTTAAAATGGTAACGTTTGTGTTATGTGTATTTTAACACACACACTCATATACATGAGAAACTGAGAACAAAACCAAACCCAGCCTTGGGGCACCCTGGCCATTTGGCCCTCAACCGACAGGGGAGCACCCCCTTGGCGGCAGGCCTGTCTCCTTGTACCCTCCTCTCCCCTCCTCCCCAGCCCTGGCACCAGGAGGAGCCCCTGACCACCTTTGCTCAGCCCAGCTCTTCCCTCTCATCCAGCAGAGGGCTTGTTTCTGGTCCTGATGTTTGCAGCAAAAGAAGAAATGTTTTGATTCCTAATGGAAATGTTTGCCCAGAGAGCTCACTGGGTCCTCAGCCCCCGGGGACGGCAGGTACACTCATTGCCTCACGGCTGTGGTTGCGTGGGAGACCGGAGATGGAAAAACACACACTCTCCACTCCCACACACGTCCATGGCCAAGGTCACCACAAGCGCAGCTTCAGAGCGCTCAGCCTGCTGCACGGAAGAAAAACAAACCCTGGAGTGGGAGGCAGGTGAGATGCTCCTGCCATTCCTGCTGCTGCTCCTGCTGCTGCCCCTTCCACGTGCCCAGGGCCTCTGCAAAAGGGGCCAGGCCCTCCCACGTGGGGGATCGGGAGGCTGAGATTCTGATGGAGGGGGACTGGGGCCCTGAGAGGAAGATGAAGGCAGCCAGACTGAGGCACGCGTCAGGGCAAAGGACAGACCAACGCGATCAGGCCTGGGCCTCACTGTGGGCATTAACAGGACTTCTCTGGTCTCGAGGGCACAGGAAACGGAGGTCAAAGTGGAGCACAATGGCTGGGGTGGGGAGGAAGGAAGTGAAGATGAGCGCTGTTGGTAAGGAGGGAGGTAGTAAGTTCGCTAAAGGCAGAGTGCCTCCACGCACCTTCCTTACACTCCAGGGCCACACGGGACTCCAGGTTGTCCATCTGCATCTGGAGCCTCTTCAGCGTGAGGTCGTTTTCTCGAGACTTCCGCTTGTAGGCGATGAGGACGATGATGACGATGATGAGGAGGAGGCTGCCTCCTGCCGCGATGCTGACGATGGCTGGCAGGGTCAGCAAGCTGTCTGAGACGACACTCACGGAGCCCGGAGAGAACACCATCCCGCCCACGTGGACCTGCACATGGCACACACACAGACGCTGTAGAGCCCTGGCATGCCATCGGATCCTCATCGTTTCAGAAAGGACACGAGAGACCACAACCACACAGTGCAGTCTGTATTCAAAACAACATCCTGCTGATTATCTAGTCCCCCTCCCCCCATTCTTGTGTTCTCAGCTGCTATACATTTCCCATTTTAATGCAGGACGTGGAGAGGGATATGGACTAGAAGGAAGAGAGAGCCTTTATTAGGGCAGATCACGTATGTACGGTGAAGAGGGGAGGACATAATATGAAGAACAGGGAACACTCACCATGACCTTGTGCTGCCCCGTGAGGTTGGGGGGCTCGCAGAGGAGCTGTGTCTCGGACACAGTGACGGCACACGGGGTCTCTCCAATCAGCACCGTGTAATTGAGTTTGGCGCCTCCAGAGGCAGGAGGGCAGAGGTTTTTGCCCTGTAGATAACAGTCATCTTAATAGGAATAATTGACACATGCGCTCAGAAGTTAATTGCCTTTTTCAAAAAAAGGTGAAGGGGATAGATTAAGGAGGGAAGGGCAGCAGTGCAAAAACCAGTGAGTGACTCCATGGTAAGTTTTGAGAGGACTTCAAACAGCCACAATTTAGAGAGAAAGAGAGAAAGCAGATGGAGGAGAGAAAGAAGGAGGAAGATAGTTGGAAAGAGAGAGGAAGGGGAGACAGAACACTAAACAAGTGAAAATTTGGGGAGGACACCTCGGGTATCAATGGAAGCGGTGGACTAACAAAACACTTGTCCCAGATATGTGACCTCCTGAAATATGTGCACAGGTTACAGTGGCCACAACAGTGGTCAAGAAAGGCAATGGTGACTTTCAAGTTCACGGCAGCCCTTTTGGGTCCCAAGGCTCATGAGAACAAGCAGCAATTCTCCACAGTGTTTCTCAGGAATCTCAGGTGCAAGATACAGGGTGGGGCAAAGGTAGGCTGACAGTTGGTCGTATGGAAAAGAATCTATATAATAAAAGCCTAAGCAACCATTATGGCAGAACAACCAGAACGACTGGTCGCTATGATGCGCACTGACCACTAGGGGGCAGACACTCAATGTAGGAGCTTCCCCCTGGTGGTCAGTGCGCTCCTACAGGGGGAGCACCACTCAGCCAGAAGCCGAGAGGTAAGGAGCCTGCTGGTAAGGAGCAAGGGATCCTGGATTGCGAGGAGCCAGCAGGCAGACATTTCCTGAGGGGTCCTGGACTGTGAGAGGGTGCAGGCCGAGCTGAGGCCCACTGCTCCCTCCCCAGTGCACGAATTTTGTGCACTGGGCCTCTAGTAGAATAATAATAACACAAGAATAAATACTGTGTTCTGCATACTCACAACTGTAAAGCTACATTGCCCCACCCTGTACATCGCCCGATGGGTCAATATCTACAAATAAACTCCCTTTACAGGGGGAGGACAGCTTTGCGAGTCCATCCTGTGTAGAAAAGAGAACATAAAAGGCAAAGAGAGGGGATGTTCTCTACAATCCCCGCCCTCCCCACGTTCCTACCTTCAGAATGATGGGGGATCCTGGTTTCTGATTCAAGACTCCAGTGGGGCTGAGTAGTTCAAAGGTTGGGTTGGGGTAGTAGATGAACTTGGTGTCATTGTAAACGAGCAAGGACTGAACATTGTTAAAGACAAAGCCAAACTCGTCTGGCCGTTCCACAGTGTCCAGGCCGGGCCGGTAGTCCGTGGTCAGAGAGGGTGCCAGGCAGGTGAGGGTGGTGTTGTTCACAACTTTACACACCTACAAGGCCCAGAGAGCAGCATTCAAGCGCCTAGCAAGCGACCGGGGGTCTGCGGGGCCCCTCCCACCCTCTGCTTGCTTTGGCTATTACTATTAGGCTACTGCTTGTCTTCATTAGATAGTGAACCCCTTGACGAAAAGGGCTGTGAGACTAATTTTGGGGGGTTGCATTTTAACCTCATTCATTCATTCATTCATTCATTCATTCATTCATTCACCAACATCGCTTGAGCACCTCCTCTGTGGCAGGTGCTGTGCTAGGAGTTGGGGCTACCTGGTGAATAGTCACAGTCTACAGCGGGAGACAAATGATTCAAGCATGATCTAGTCCTGGCAGAGGACTGAGAACACAGGAGGGGGACGAATGGATATGAGGAAGGTCCTGGTGGGGTGGGACCAGGTACAGGGGACTGTCAGTGTGTGGCCATGGGCATGTGTGTGAATGCACATGGCTCACGGAAGCTTCCCCAGGGAAAAAATAAATGAAATTTAATCTGAAGAATGAGTGGGACTTACCTAGACAAGGAGAGGGAGAGAGAGGGGAACAAATCCCAGCAAAAGCCCAGGATGAGAGCATAGAAGGTTCGAGGAAAACGTGGGATGCAGTGCTGGGTGTGAGTGTGAGTATGGAGGGGAGCTGGGGGTGGAGCCGGACATAGTGTGAGATAAGCACTTTGCCGGCACATAGTAGGTGTTCAGTTAATATTTACTGACTACATTGATTCATGATAAGGAGTCTTCAACTCTTTAAATGTTCTACGTAGAATCTCTCTCTTTTCCAACCAAGTCCCCTAACTTCGAGGGAATGTAGCCTTGGTATGGACACTGAGTTCGGAATGTCCTTTCTTTATTGGTGGACGCTGGTCTCCCAAATAAAATCCTAGCTGGGCTGACCCCTCCCTAGCATGAGGTGTGTCATGCTCGCCTCTGGCTTAGAACTGGGGCTGCCCGAGGCCACAGCTGGAATGAAGAAACCACTACGGGACCCACGTGGGGCTTGGGAAGAAACTTGGACTCCTAGCTCCCGGCTCAGTTTCGGTCTTGGGAGCCATGGTGTCCCAGCAACAGCCAAGGGCATCTGTGAGAACTCGGCCTGCTCAAGTACACACTGTCCTGGCAGGTCCGCACATGTGTGTCTGGCCAACATACGCACACATGGACTTCATGCTCAGAAAACAAGGCCGTGTGTGAAACTGAAGAAAGGCTGCCACTGGCACAGAGATGAGGTCAGAGCTCCCAGGCCAAGCGTTAACCCTCTGCTCCCAGAGGCCATTTGCGTTTCAATCAACAGCTCACTGAGGGCTTCCTGCCATCTTGGAGGTCAGTCCCCATCCCCACCCTTTTCAGTCACACTTCAGCAGCCCTTAGAAGCCCAATGTCCCTTTCATGTGCCAGCTGGGGACACTCTGGCGAGAGGAAAATGGGGTGCAGTCTAAGGGTAGAGTTGAGCCAGGGAGACTGAAACCCCGGGCTTTGTGGGCAGACACGCAGCCAGGGTGCCTCTCTTCCCTCCCCACCCCACCTTCTTCCCCACTCTTTCCAGTTCCCCAGACTGGGCTCCTCTGGGAACACGCAGATCACTCCCAAACAAGCAGCCTCTGTTTGCTTCCTGCCCGGTGCTGCATCGGCATTTTGTTTGCCAAACATTCCTTGGGGTTTTGCGGCCTTGGCTTTGGCCCTTCTCACTTTTCACTAGGGGCTGCTTCATGGCCCAAAGGCAAGGAGAGGCCCCAGTCGGCTGAGGCTGCCATGGGGCCCAGGCTGGGCTGAGGGGCCCAGTGCTTCTCTCTCACCACCCTGAGGGGAAGGCCCAGGGCGGAGTTCATGGGCTTCTCACTGTGGAGCTGGCCCTCCCTCTCCATCTGCCCGCCTGCAGGCCCCAGGCAGGTCACTACTGAAGCTGAGGGCCCCAGCCCAGGCTCCTCTTCAGTGGCTTCCCCGGGACCGAGCATCAGCCTTGGAGGCCGACCTCATCAGGCACATCCTCACTCTCCCAAATTCCCCCTGTGCCACGTGAACCGTGCCTCGTACTGTCTGTGTCTGATGCTTTCACATCTGGGCCTCGCTGACTCTGGAGGGACTGCCCCTCCCCAGACTCGCCAATCCCTAGGGACCATCAACAGCGTGCCGCCTGCTAGCTCGTGCTTTCTAAGGCAGACAGCTCATCAGCCCACACGCCAACCACCTCCTTCCACACTGTGGGCAACTATCCACCTTCCCTGACTCTACCAGGGCTGGGCGCCAGAGAACTAGGGCCCCTCTGCCCCACAGCCCATTGAAATGATCATGATCCCAACTGGCCCCAAACCTGCCTGCCTTGCCTGGCTAGTTCCTTCCTGTGGAAACCAAAATAGTTGTCTTTCCTCCTTCTGCTTCCTAACCTACTCTGCGGCTTCCTCTCCCCATCCCCCACACCCCATGGCATGCCCCCCCCCCCCCTTTCTTGGGATCTGTATTGTGTTGTTGTTATTAATCCTCACCTGAGGATATTTTTCCATTGATTTTTAGAGAGAGTGGAAGGGAAGGGGAGAGACACAGAGAGAGAAACACCGATGTGAGGGAGACACATCCATTGGGTGCCTCCTGCATGCACCATGACCAACCCTGGGGATTGAGCCTGCAGCCAAGGTACATGTCCTCGACTGAATCAAACCCAGGACCCTTCGGTCTGCGGGCCGACGCTCTATCCACTGAACCAAACCGGCCAGGGCGGGATCTGTATTAACAAACTATCCAATGGCAGTCATCTCCCGATCTGTTGGCCTTGTCATACCTGAATAATAAAATCTAAGTTTTAAAAGTGCGCCTAATTTTGGGGGATTTTATTTTTCCTGAGTGTGAACTCGCCATTCCCATTCCTACCCCTCACGCTCTTCCCTTCCACATAGGCCCCAGAGTTGGGCAGATGGAGGTGGTCTGTGAGCTATGGGGCAGTGGTCTCAGTCTGGAAGTGGAGTTGGGGCACGGATTCTTTACCCAGGGGTCACACTCTACACCCGGGATAAGGAGACATGTGCTCCTCTAGCGCAAAAAGCTGTGATCGTGGGGTGTAGAAGGTTGCAAAAGGTGTCCCCATGCCTGGCATGATGGAACTCCAAGTCTAGGAGCATCTCATGTGGTTTAGTTATGAAGGAGTTCAGTGGTTGAGCATTGACCTATGAACCAGAAGATCAGGGTTCGATTCCCGGTCAGGGTACATGCCCAGGTTGCCGCCTTCATCCCCAGTGGGGGGTGTGCAGGAGGTAGCTGATCAATGATTCCCTCTCATCATTGATGTTTCTATCTCTCTCTCCCTCTCCTTTCCTGTCTGAAATAAATAAAAAAAATATGTATTTTTTAAAAAGTCCAGATATTTGGGATCTAGCTTGGTCCTGCCACCAGTCATCTGCATGGTTGGGAAGTCATTATTCCTTTCTGGCCTCAGTTTCCTCAGCTGTGAGGGGGTAGGCCCAGATGAACCCTGAGAGCCTCCAGGTCCAGCCTTCTAGCATCCTGTCATTTAGTGCATTTCTGTTTCCTAAGGAAGCCTCAAGCACTCTGGGAATGTGTCAGAGATGAAGGTAGACATAGAGCCATCCTCCCCATCAGCATCTCAGCCTCGTCAATCCCCAGAAGGTCGAAGCAGTAATGATAGCCATTTATTTGAAAAATAATGGCCATAATTCATAGTGCCAGCATCTCCTGGACTATAATTATAAATACAATAACGTTTCAGAAAATATTGGCCAAGAAGAGCCACTAGAACAAACTAAAATATTTATAACATATCAGACATTCTGCCCTTATGATAGAAAACTTCTTTAAAATCACAAAAAATCCATAATGAAAGAAATTGAATTACATGGCTCTGCTCAGAGGAGTAAAGTAAAATGTTCAACCTGATCATCTTAGCAACCAGCATGGGTTTATTCGCATGCAGTGACTACCATTTGTCAAGTGCCAACCTCGTGGGGGCCAATGGCTGCAGGTGACCAATCTGCATGCGAGTCTTAGCACCATATGAAGTGACAGGGGATGGAGGATCAGAGAGGTTAGATGACTTGATCATGGTTGTTCAGCTAATCAATGGCAGTGCCCTGCTTCCAATCCAGAAGTACCTGAATTTGGAGTCAGAACTCCTTCACCCTCTCACAACACTGCTGCTTATCAGACTTCAGAGTGAGCATGTCACACAGCAAGAGCCCTTTTGTGCTACATCTTAAGCTCAGAAGGCACTAGGTCAATGCACTCACTATATCACCTTCTGACAAGAAATGACTATCTACATTAATAAAATGGAAAGATGCAAATTGACCGTACCTTTGCAACACCCACCAGCCAACCAGGAGTGAGTATGCAAATTAACCAACCAATGATGGTGGTTAATTTGCATACGCAGACACTGAGCGGCCAGGGGCGGGGCTGGATGCTTGCGCTGTCGCCAGGCTAATGACGCAGGCATTCCAGACTGCCCCAGCTGCTCAGGGCCTCTGAGCAGCATGGGAAGGCAGAAAAGCAGCTCCAGCCAGAGTGAAGGTGGTGCTGGCAGCCAGGGGAAGGAAGGCCTATTCTTGCACGTGCATCAGGCTTCTAGTGCCATAATTATAAAAATCATTGTCAGGCTTAGGCGTTTGGGGACATGATTCTGGGCTCAGTCTTGAGCCATCTTTCTTCTCCTACGTCCAGTGCCCAGCACATTACAAAACACTGATACATGCAATGTTTGCCGAGGGCCAGGTGACCAGTGGTTACTCACATTGACAGATTCTTTGCCATTAAACTTGACTCGGATCCTTGGCTCCTGAATGACATCCAGGTTGGAGCCTGTGATGGTCAGGGGTGTGTGGCCACTGGGGACAAGCAGAGGCTAGGTTAGGTAAAATTCAAATGGCCACCACCTCACCCCTGGATCCTCTCACAAGCCATACTTGGGCTGAGAGGCTGATGCCACGCGGTGCATTCCTCCACGCCGTGCCTCACCTGGCGATGCTCCACTCCGGCTCGATGCTCTGCACCTGGGGGTCCCCTATGTACTCAAACTTCAGGCTGTTGTTCACACGGGCTCGGTCGACACTCACGAAGACAGGAACACAGCTCTGGCCATTGGACGATGGGGGTGAGACACACACGATCTCATTCATTGACCGCCTGGTGGGGATGTGACAGCAGGAGGGTTGTGAAGAAAGGCGGGGGCAATCAGGGTGCCCTCTGCTGGAAAAGGGGCTTGCCTCAGTCTGAGGGTGTGGCCAGGACGTGTCCTTGGTCCCATGTACTGTATACTATGGAACATCTCCCTTGTCAGTATCCTCTTTCCCTGACATCCAACTCTGGTTCGATTAGGAGGGAGTGGCTGGAGAAGGGGATTAGAGAATGAGGCAGGGGCTGGGCTTCATGAGTTTCACTCTCTTTTCTGGATTTTTCTAGAAAATGACTATTTAACTGATGCTTAGAGTCTAGTCCAGGGGTGAGCAAACTTTTTGACTCGAGGGCCACAATGGGTTCTTAAACTGGACTGGAGGGCCGGAACAAAAGCATGGATGGAGTGTTTGTGTGAACTAATATAAATTCAAAGTAAACATCATTACATAAAAGGGTACGGTCTTTTTTTTTTTTTTTAGTTTTATTCATTTCAAATGGGCCGGATCTGGCCCGCGGGCCGTAGTTTGCCCACAGCTGGCTAGTCAGTCAGTTAATAAATATTCATTGAGTCCAGCAGGCATGGCTCAGTGGTTGAGTGTCGACCTATGAACCAGGAGGTCACCGTTCAATTCCCGGTCAGGGCACATGCCCAGGTTGCAGGCTCGATCCCCAGTGTGGAGCGTGCAGGAGGCAGCCGATCAATGATTCTCTCTCATCATTGATGTTTCTCTCTCTCTCTCTCCTTTTTCCTTCTTCTCTGAAATCAATAAAAATATTTAAAAACATATAAATGCATACATAAATAAATATTCATTGAGCACCTACCATGCAGAAAAGTGAACACTCAGTTCTTGCCCTTAGGGAATTTATGGTTCAAGGAGGAGATTATCAAATACTGGGCAAGTTGGGTTATCATCCATGGATTCTTTAAGAATTCTCTCACCCCCATTGAATGTATTTGACAAATAGTAGGTGTTCAATTTTTTAGGCCTAAGAGATGTCCTGAGGATGAGTCTGGCTTGCTGAGGGCCGAGGCCATGCATTGTCCATGTTTCTCAAGTAACCACAGTGGGGACCTAGTGAATGTGTGGCCTGATGGTGACGGGACAGCTCCTGGGGGCCTTTCTCATCCGCAGTCTCAGGGCTCTCACTTCTCATTATTTTTAGAAGCACCCAGCCCTGTGATTCATGAGGTGTAAACGGACTAGTGCTAAGTGACCAGAATGGTGTTTGGGTCAAGGATGCAGCACATAGGATGGAGGCAGGCAGGCCTATGTGTGAACATGCACAGGAACATGTGTGCATTATGTGTGAACCTGCACAGGAACGTGTGTCCATATGTGTGAACCTGCACACGAATGTGTATATATGTGTGAACATGCACAGGAACATGTGTGCATATGTGTGAACCTGCACACGAATGCGTATATATGTGTGAACATGCACAGGAACATGTGTACATATGTGTGAACCTGCACACAAATGCGTATATATGTGTGGACATGCACAGGAACATGTGCACACATGTGTGAGCATGCACAGGCCACACAAGGACAGTCTCCCAGTGCTCCTTCGAGCGCATCTCACCCATAGAACTCGCAGGTCTGGTTGCCCAGGTACACAGCCACGCTGCTCCCAGCTCCAAGATAACGGCCCGTGATGGTTACCATGGTGCCTCCGGACTCTGGGCCCCGGATGGGGTTGAGGGACAGCACAGAAGGGTTCTTTGTGAGGAAGCAGAGAAATGATCACAGCTCAGGTTTTGTGCAAAGGGACGGACACAGGCTAGACTTAAGGACAGAAGGAGGAACCATGTCCATGCTCTGAGTGGAGGTACTTTTCCTGCCCTTTTGAATCCCACACACTCTCTCCACCCCCCCTGGAGCTGAGACCCTTTCTAAGAGGCTCTGGGCATGTCCAGGGAAGAAAGAAAGGTCATGCTTTGGAATTAATTAACTCCCCAGGGAGTCTCGTGCCCATAACATTGATGGGAAGGCAGAGGTGACACTGACTAATCTATCAATTAGTTTACAAATTGAGAACAATTTGAAAATGCTTCTCTATCTAGAACCTGTACTGATTTTTTTGGCACAAAATCGATAGGGCTGGATAAAGCATCACTGCCTGGATCAGGCCACCCTGAGGCTAAAGTCCTCTATTAAGGGCCACGCACATCTGTTCATGCCTCCCTAAGCATGTGAAGGACACGGTAGTGTCCCTGGTGCAGAGGGCTGTAAGGGAATGTTAGACATGGCTTCCCCGTCCTGCACCAGGAGGATGGATGGCCCATCGCTGGCGGGGGCTTTTCAGTAAGCTCATTAAGTTGTAAAATTAAGCCTGAAGCTTAGAAGAAATGTCATCAGGCAGCTGACCTGAGTCAAGAAGGATTTGCTTCTGCCTCTACAGAGGGCGCTGGGGCAGAGTGGAAAGTGTATTTAACTGAGCAACTACACAGGCATGAACTAGTCCCCATTAGCCACTCAGTAGCAATGAGCCCTGAAGCAAGGCTCTGGATCGCCCTGGGCTTTCATTTGCTCCCCTGTGGAGAGGAGGGTGAGCTAAAGCGTCTCTACAGCTCCTCCCTGCTCTGGCATTCCAACCGCAGTTCTCTCTGCATCCGGTGTTTCTGCACTTGCCTCTCACAGAAGACCCCGTCTGTCTGTGCAGAGGATGGGATAGGCTGGAGGCAGATAGGCCGAGGTTCTCTCCAGCCGAGAGACAAGAATACAAGAAAAAGGTGCAGATGCCGGGACAGGAAGGCAGAGACGGGAGAACCAACAACAAGCAGTAAAAATGCTGCAGAGAACAGCATCTGTGGTTTAGGGATTTTTCAAAACTCTCAGCAAGGCTAGTTTGCCCCCACCTGCTGGTGCTAATACTTCCTAATGAAGCCAGGTAGGTAAGTGTCAGAAAAGGGATTTAAGGGCCCGAAGGCAAATTACTGATTCAGTAGGCACCTTAAAGGAGGCCTTTGTGGTTTTGCTACCTGTTGCCTGAGCACAGAGAGATGATTTCAGGTGTGAATGTGTGCTTACTTGCGTGTAACCACACCAACACACAGAGCAACTCGCTTGTATACCCCACTCCTGTGATCCCGCACAAAGACATGGTCCTGCAGGATTTCAAGGGCCTCCGCTAAATTCCTACTTACAAAGCTTGAGGTGAATCCTAGACCTTTTTAATTGGGTCCTCCAGGCGCTCTGGCCTCATTAGGCCGAATTAGGTGTGAAGATACTACCTCCGCAGGGAAAAGGGCCACCCCTCCCTAGCCTGGGAGGTGCTTTCTAAGATCTGAATTCTAAGAAAGGCCGGATTTTGCCACATTTAGAACTCTGACCTTTGGCTCTGCTGGGCTCCAGTCTTCACAGAATCCTTAGTCACACCCCCATCCCACTCGGAAAGACAGGCTTGCAAAGTGAGGCCCGAAGTTCCCTTTTCTGGTCTCTTGGTGTTGGTGCCTGGCTTGGGAGGAGGTGTGTGGAGGAGTCCAGAAGGAAGTGTGCCCTTGCTGGGAGCCTGCACTAAACCCCACACTCACCACAAAGGTGTACTGTTGATGGGACTTGGTCATGAACTCTGGTTTGCACTCGCCAATGCACAGGCGCACCGGCCCAGACGTGGTCCCCACGAGGGCATGGCCCATCTCACAGACGATCCTGAGAAGAAAGCACACCTTCCGGTGAGAAGCCAGGCAAGAGCTGGCATCCCTGCCCCTGCTGCTCACTATCACAATGAATGACTCCTCACAGCCTTTCAACAGTGCTGAACCAACCAAGATGCAGCTTGCTCACCCATCTGAGCTGTGTGACCTCGAGAAAACAGCTTTCCCTCTCTGGGCTTTAGTGTCTCATCTGTGGAGTGAGAGGTTGGATGAGATCATCTCTACAGCCCTGTGTGCCTCCAAAATGCCCAATTCTCTGAACAAGCGTGTGGTACCCAGTGCCGAGTGCAGTGCCTACCCCTGGGTGGCTGCCCACTATTTGTGAAATAAACCGAATGCCCAGCAGAGAGGTTCTGCCCAATTGAGTGTTCTTTCCCATGTGACAAGCCAACACTGCAACTCTCCCTAAAAGAGGGAGCGAGGGTCTATTTGCCGAACTGATTCAATTGTGGTTTGCTTCCTGCAGTGAGTTTTTAAAAGAGAAGAGATAATCCGGTGAGATAGTGAGAGCCCAGAACAGGAGCCTGGAGCACAGCGGGAGGAGTGGAGTCCTGTGGCAGCGGGCGAAGAGCTGGGAGGCAGATGAGTTCATTAGGACAGTGGCGGGCACTGGACTCCCATTTAATCAAGGGCTGAGCGCAGGAAGCTGCTGGGGGAGGCGGGGACCCAGCCCCAGGGTTGGAAGTCAGGTCTCCTGTTAACAGGAGAGACAGCTGGAGAGGAGAGGGATGCAGCATTCTCTCTCATGAAATGCAGATCAATACCCCCCAGGGATGACTTCCCTGGGGCTTGAGATAAGTTACAACAAGCACAACCAGAGACTGGTTGCCTTGGCCACAGATTAGAAATGGTGGGTGGCTGGAGGGACTGAAGCAATCGGGTTCTTGGGGGGACCTCTTGCCTGGAATGGTAGACGTGGGGTGCGTGGGAAAGGGCCCCACCAGGCAGAGCAAAAAGGAACCTGGGGACAGAGACAATGATTTTCGTTCCCTCCCAACCACACGTTAAGAGTTCAGAGCATCCTGGCACCCTTGGTAGGTTTGCTTAGTGGGGAGTCAGTAAAAGACCCCCTCCTCCCCCCATCCCTCACCCCCTGCACTAATCCCCAGCCTTATCCTGGCCCGGTGGGGAAGATCGGCTTTTAACCGGCTTTTAACCCAGCGATGCTTATCTCAACCACTTCTCTAGGAAGGAAGGTAACTAAACCGAAATTTCATTCCGATGCAATAAAACCTGCATTAAACAAATACACCGCATGCTCGCACACACGGCGTGCGCGGATCTCCATTTCCTCCATCACAGTTAATCCCAAATAAGCACTTCACTCCTGGTGAATATTTACTTAACATGCAATAACTGTCTGGCTACGTTTAGCATATTAGATTCAACAAGCAAGAACTGAATCACAGGGACGGCTACTCTCCCGTCCCTTTCTCTGTGAATGAATACGTTAATTATGAACCTGGAGTAAAGATGAGAGCGATGATCAATTAGTATTTTACACGTAGCTGTCTCCTCAAACCTCATTAGCAGAGCATCGGAGAAGCCTAATTTATGGCACTGTGTGTGGTGATCTCAGTGCTGCTACCTGCGTGGAGTGGCCACGCTCAACCTGCCTCCTGGGCCCTAGCGCCGGCTGCGTGGGGCCGGGCCACCCTGCAGGCCATGAGGAGCTCCAGAGGCACAGAAGAGAAGTGGGCAGGTATGTCTCCTTCCCTCTCTTCCAATCAGGGCTTTCTTGTCCCTCACCCCCCCGCCACTTGGACAATCTGTGCCGAAGCGATTCTCAAGAAGAAAAGGAGGAAGGAATCATGGCAGGCTTGATATCATGGCAAGAGGAAACATGAGAATATCTGAAGGTCATGGGCATATCTGTTCCTCCTTGGGCCACCCCAGGGCCTGTCTAGGAGAAGACAAAGCCTAGACCGGCTTCAGCTGTGCCTGGAGGGTGTTAGCAATGGGCCAGGACCTCTGGGCACTCTGCCTTTTCTAGGACTTTTTTTTTTGCTCAGGGGTCATGTCCCAAAAGATACGCCTCACATGTCAAACACCTGGGAGAAAGGGGATGCATGGAGATGGGCACTGACCAGGTGTCCACGGCTGAATGGCTACAGTAGGCTCTGAGTGCCTCGCCTAGAAAGGGGTGATGTGGGGGGTCAGGGGCTGGGCAGGGGGGCCTGGACCGCTGCAGCTGACCCTCTCCCACCGGTGGAATGAGGTTCCACTGCAGCGAGTGAGCGGGGAGAGAGGTGGTGGGCTGCGGAAAAGGGTCGGTCGGTCTCAGAAACAGGTGAGAATCCTAAGGAACCAGGCAGCGTCGTAGAAGAACTCAGTGCCCTCGAACTCTAGTCCTTTTCCTTCCTGGGAGCCAGGGCTTGCCTCCTGGAGTGTATCTGTTGCAGGTAGCTGTTCTCTGAGCTCAGGGACAGGGGCAGTTCAAGGAGACAGGAAGGGCAGCGGCAGGGAGTGGGAAGTTATCATGAGGAGTGTGGGTCCGGCCAAAGCAGATTCTGTGTCTCCATAGTACCTGGAGCTACCCTGGACTGAGCGGTGACCTGGCAGGCACCGGGTAGGACAGGATCCCGTGTCCTCAGCCTCTCCTACCGGGAGGGTCTGATGAGCTCCTTTTATAGACAATGAAACTCAGGCTCCGAGGTGCTCGGTGACTCACTGTAGCCACAGCTCTGTTAGCCGAAGTGCCCTATTCAAATCCACGTCAGCCGGCTCCAAAGCTCATGCCTTTGACCACTCCACTCCACTGCCTCTGGGATTAATGGAAGGACCTGTGTGTCTGTTGGGAAGGGGCCAGGGTCAACATGGCAGCCATGCTGGGGTGGAGTTGAGGTTGCTGTGGGAAGAGGAGTGGGGGAGGGAAGGCCTGGCTGGGGTCCCAAAGCCCCGAGAGCTAACTACCTGTGCCCCCGCCTTCCTGGCTGTCGATGGCCACAGGCAGCGGTGTGTGCACCACTTCCTCCTTCGGGCCTTACCAGGGGGCCAAGTTCCTGTGGTTTGATTTCTGGAGGCCGCCTACCTTCCCTGCCTCCTCCCAGTGTCCCTGGTGGCTCTGGGCTCCCTACGTGCCATTAGGAGACAACAGATGGCCATGTTTTCTCCTGATAAAGTGAGGAGTTGGACTAAATCCCTGTCCAGCAGTTACTTAGCTCTAGTGTTTGAAGGCTTGACTCCTCCTGGTTGGCAGGGATTTCTGGAGACACATTAGTGCCACCAATGAGCTTTCTAATAATGGGAGGAGCAGGCCCCGTGGGGCATACACTTTATTCCTTCTGCCATCCTAAGGACCACAGATGTCACTATAGGGACCATCTATGTCTACATACCCATTTTCCAGATGAGACATTTGAGGAGCAGAGAGCAAAGTTGCTTGCCCAAAGTCTCCTACCTAGCTCATCAATAGCTGAACTCTTGGCCCCCTGCCACTGCCCTCATACCCACCCGACCACCTCCCTTAAATTGGCATAGGCGATAGTTTTCAGCCCAGCACTGTGCACGTGGGGTGGGGGGCACAGGCATCTAACGTCCATCCAGCTGTGGCTGAGTTCACAGGTGCCGCAGATAGGAGGGAGGTGGTCTGAGCCCCGGAGCTGAGAGTCGATCACACAGAGCCCCCGTCCCAGGACTGGCTCCGTTGCGGCCTCAACCTGCGTCCCACTGCCCGGAAAACGCCCTGTGGTGGGATCCTCCGGCCCTCGCAGTCCTGTGGGGTGCCGACTGTAGGACTAAGCAGGGCCCTTTAACCAACATTAACCTAATTGCTGAGTGATAGATGGCAGGCACCAGCATCTGGTGAGCCATTACCGTGCCTGCTAATCCTGCCCGCAGCCAGGACTCTGCACCATGCACGGCGAGCCAAATCCATCTCTCGAAGACATCTGTAACGATTGTGCCTGCTGCTCCCTGCCCGGGATGGAGGCTTTAATGATGTTAACAAACTCTGAAACCTCGAGAGCAGTGATGAGCCTGGCACGGCTGGAAACCAGGGTTGCATCCCGCTGAGGCGCCGGGCGCGCCCGCCCCTGCGGCCTGCCCTGTGCCCGGAGGCGGTGGTGGTGGTTTTCTAGGGCGACCACCAGCCTTGGCAGGGAGCCCTGGTCCATTCTCCTTCCCGGGCTCCTTCCAGTTCCTATCAGGACTGTCTTCCCCGTGGCCCTGCGCGAGTGCAGAGCATTTGATTTCATAGATAAAACTTTCTTACATTCGTAGGGCACGTTACAGTCCCCGTGTTCTCATCTTACTGAATTTTCCTCAAAACCCGTGCAGCAGGCATCATGGTTTCCATGAGGCCGATGATGGTCAGGAGACCGGACAGATGGCTAAGGTCTCGGGGCTGGGCAGGGGAGCAGCCAGGACTCAGAACACCTTTGCATCCCAAACCTCATGGCACGTCCATGTCCCGCTGCCCAAGCTCTTCTCACCTCAAAGCCATACCCCTCACTCACCCAAGCCCTTTCCTGTGGCATCTCCCCAAGCTGGAGACTTAGCTCATGTCTAGAGGCACAAGGCAGGGCCTGGACGCCCCAGGGATTTGGGTCAGTGAGACCAAGGGGCTAGCTCAGCCTGGCAGGGCACTGGCCCCTGTAAAGCCCTTGACTGTGAGGATCTCTCAGACCGGCCTGGCTCTTGCCCACAGCTGTCCCCTCCTCTCCTGGCTTGGAAGTGCTACTAAGTCACGTCCCTTTCCCCTCCCTCCTCTCTTCCTGCAGACCCTGCCAGCCTTTCTCGACATGCTCTCCTCGCAGGGCTAAGGTTGCCGGCGAAGGATCCCATAGGAAGGAGCTGCAGGTTGAAGGATCAGGCTCCTTCTCCCCTGCTGGCAGGCGTCCCACCCAGCCTCGGAGTCTGGGAGTTCACCCTCTCGCCCTGACCCAGCCCTGGGCCGCACTGGGATCAAGGCCCCGAACCTGGAAGCCACTTCGTGATGCACCATGAGATTTCCAGGCCACTCTCACCCCGAGTCCACCCCATCGCTGGTCAGGAAGGGAAGACTCCAGGCCCCGCTCTGCCTCGGCCACTTGTACTCTGAGCAAACGGGATGAGTTTTCACTCCTTTCTTGCTTTGTAAAATGACGATAACGGTATGTACCTCGCAGAGTCCCGACCAATGAAAAATGAGATAATCGGTGACACTGTGCAAGTGCTGATAGAAGAAAGTGATGCTACTTTTATGGTTGCTGATGCCACTTTTATGGTTGCTACTAAAGGCTGGCTCTGGGGGTGGGGGTCAGAGGGAGGGCCCGAGGCTGCAGGGGGCAAAGCTTAGGGGGAGAAGCCCCATCCCCAAGCTGTGCTCTGAGACCCCCTGGCAGGGCTGTGTTCTCTGAGGAACGAGGGCGACCTGACCAGACTTTATGTGACCAATGATGCAGAGTGATCTGGCTGCTCCCCGCCTTTTCTCCTTTGAAGGGGAGGCACCCCTCCTTGTACCCTCCCGCCCCCCCGCTTCATGCCCGCCTCCTGCCCACCAACTCCACAGTGGCCGCCACTGCCAAGTGAACACCCAGATTGGAACAGATGTCACTCGTGGAGCCCCGATCGCCTGTCCGCTGCGACATGCCTATTTTCTAATTTCCAGCTGACAGTTCCCTTAGTGAAATAAATGAATTTGCTCCGGCGGAGGCCCTGCTCGGATTAAGCTGCTGTCAGAGCCCCAGGAGCCAAACAAATTGTTGCCCACAGCCCACCTTGAGGAATGCATTCCAATGGGGCCTGGCGGGGAGGGGCTGGGAAGAGGCGGAGCCTGGGCTGGCTGGGAACTGACTCAGCCATGCCAGCGGGCAGGGGGGAACTGAAGGAGGGGCAGCATTGCACAGGGATCCCTGAGGCCAGAGGAGCCAGGGGACAGGGAAGAGAATGGACTATGACCTTCTGAGAATGGCGGTGGGAAAGGACAGGGCCCTGGGTGGACTTCTGGGGGCAGGGTCCCCGGGAGAAGGGAGATGAGAAATGACTCTTGGAAAAGCCCCCTCAGAGAAAGGGGGGTGGAGGGGAGTCTCCGCCGGCCCAGAAGCTCCCCTGGGAAGGGGCAGGCCAGAGCAGACCGGACTCACTGCTCAGCGATGATGTACTCCCCGGGCAGGGGTGTGCAGGGCACCCCAGCCACCTGCACGTGATGGGCGATCTCGGAGAAGTCCAGACCCAGGTTCACGCCGTGGATGGTCACTCGAGTCCCTCCTTCGGGTGGTCCAGACACTGTCAAAATCTGTGGGAGGGAAATGGGATTAGCAAGCCTGCGGTCCTCAGGAGTACAGACAGCAGCCTCTGTTGCCTTCCCTAGGGAGGCGCGGGGACTTGGATGGACATCTGGAACCTGGGTGAACAGCGAGCGTTTTCTCTACTTTGTAGCTTGTCTAGGATCCTGGCACCATATTTCTTATACTACCTCCTCGGGTCTTTCGGTCATTAACTCATTCATTCATCCAATTATTAAACAGAAAACAGAAAGTACTAGACTCAAGGAATAAAACCATTGTTTGAACCATTGTTTGAACATGTCTCTAATTCACCAGTTGCCTGACTGTGAGAGTCATCTCTACCAGTCTCACCCCAGGAGCTCCCGAGTACCAAACAGAGGGTGTTTGTGAGCATTCTCTACACCAAAGAGGCCTTGCAATTGTGAGGTGCTGCCATTGCCACTCCTGCGTGCGGGACTCCGTGGGAATACAGTGATGAATGCACAGGAAGTATGCCTGCAAGGAACATATGGTTGAGAGGAGAGATGAAGGAGGCCATACACAATGCTGATGCCGGGCACTCAGTGGATTCCAGGCAAAGCTGGGGGATCCCAGAGGAGCCTGAGGTGAGGCAGCAGCAGAGGGATGATCAAAGATGGGAGGGTGTTTTACGTTGTTCTGGAAAAAAATCCCTGTGATGCATGCTGCAACCCCCCCTTCCCCCAACAATAATAACTTTAGGATTTCCCAAATTTTGCTGGCTTCCTGTGAGTAAGGATTATTTATGGATTCATTTCTTAATCCAGTCACCACCTGATGACTGTCTCATTTTGCTCTGGCCCAACAGGGAAGGGAACTGCTTGGGAGAATCAGGCTCTCCCAAGGCATAAACTTCTGTCTAGGGCAGTGATGGCAAACCTATGACACCCGTGTCAGAGGTGACACGTGAACTCATTTTTTTGGTTGATTTTTCTTTGTTAAATGGCATTGAAATATATAAAATAAATATCAAAAATATAAATCTTTGTTCTACTATGGTTGCAAATATCAAAAAATTTCTATATGTGACACGGCACCAGAGTTAAGTTAGGGATTTTCCAAATGCTGACACGCCGAGCTCAAAAGGTTCGCCATCACTGGTCTAGGGAGAGATCAGGCTCAGGAAGAATGCAGCTCTTAGAGATCCCACGGATGCCAGGGATACGTTCACATCGTGGGCCACAGTCATCCGAAGCGGAAGGACATCAGACCAGAACCCAGTCCTAAGGAGCAACACCCAATTTCAGAACTGGAAGGGGACTTGGGTATCTTAGTCTAAGATGCTTATACAACCTATATGCACAGCTGTAAGGAAGTCCAGGGCTCCTTCCACGACCATAGGAAAGGCAAGGTCGGGAGAGAGGGAGGGGGTTGGTCAAGGCCAAGAGTCCACCAGACTCTCCCGGATGAGGCCTCTGGGCAGAAAGCTGCAGCCTTGGTCCCTTCTGTCCTTAGGCCCCTCTGGGGAGCTTACCCTTATGCTCTTACGTGCTGGTGGGTTGGCCAGTGGGCAGATGAGTCTGGGCACAGATGACAGGTGAGTGTAGGTGAAAATGCTGTTGAAGGCTCTGGAAACTCTTCCACCTCTCGCCTTCCCTAAGGGGCCCTGCTCTCTTCCTGTGATACAGGCACCGTGAGTTCTGTCACCAATTCAAACACGAGTCCCCAGGTGATCGTGGACTGAGAAGAGATGTTGGGGATGGGACCACCACCATCCCTCCTCCATCACTGCCTGAGACCTCAGTAATTTGGCTGCACAGCCAGGACCTGAGATCACTCTGACCTCCTGACATCCTCCCCTCCCCCGCCATCACCTGCAGGCCTTATAAGGTGCAGCCTCCTTCCTTCCTTGTCAGCCCAGGCCCTGAACTCATCTCATCCAGGGACTCATTTCACCTAAGTCACCTTGTCTATGGCTCTGACTCCCTTTCATGGGAATAAAACATCCCACCTTATGAATAAAACCAACAAGATTCATGAAATGAATCAATGGAGGGAGAGTGGAGGGGCACACAGGCATCTCTGAGTGCTGGCACGAGTGTGGGGGGAAGGCGGGACAATTTGGAGAGAAAAGCGCTGGTATGAGGAACCGTGGCCCACAGCTTTTCTGTCCCTGGGATGCTAAAAATAAGCAATACTTGGTCTTGGCTCTCCCACTCTCCCCTGGCAGTGTCTCAGGTCCCCGGGCCTCCTGGACTCTGCAAGATGGACCCTGGGCAATGAGGACCGGGGAAGGGGCTGCTCCCATGCCCCATGCAGGAGCCTCTGTTGGAAGGAATATTGCTCTCAACAAGCTTGAGCACCTGGCTGGCTCTCTTTTGATCCACTTGGAATGAGCTCAGCTGGCCCCTCTCCCCCTCCCCCAGCCACCTGGATGGCAGGAACCCACCTACTAAAAGCAATTGACAAACCCGTGGTGATTGGTTCACTCTCCTTCCCCCACTTTTATTTTTAAAAATGCATTCTTTTGCTCACTGCAGTTAATTACAACCTTTCAGAAAAACTGTGAAATGAAATCTTTCTGGAAAGACTAAAAATATTTTCGTCTTGCAGGTAGCATGTAGGGATTTTATTGTGAGGAGGCAGGGGTGTCAGCGGGTTCCATGGGGCAGCTTCCTCCTGCTGGCAAGTCGTTTAGTATCCCCTGCCCACGCCTCAGGGTCAGGGTCAGGGACATGGTCATGGGCACTGAGCTGCTCAGAAGCATAAGCCAGCTTATACTGTGCAGGGAAGGAAGACTTAAAAAAATCATGAGCAAGTGTTATGATCTTGGCATGAAGACACATGTTGAAGAGGTAGATAGTTTGGGGCGTAGAGACACCAGCCTGATCTTTTCTAAGCCAGCGACCAGCTGCGGGGATGTAAACCTGGAGAACCAGAGTCCTTCTGAGTCATTGGAAAGCACCCGGGGAATGCTGGGGCCATGTGGCTCTTCTTCCCTACAGGGCACACGCTATGTGCTATGTGACATGCTATGTGCTTGCGGCCAGCACCTGGGGTAGGGGGCGGAGGCATTCAGCATCCATCATGCCCTGGGGCTCACATCTTCCTTGATTAAAACGAAACTGATGGGTAAAAGTCTGGATTTCCCAAACATAGGTGAGGTGGTGAGCATTTGATTTGCACGAGAATTCCCAATGCCTCCATTACTGATGACTTTCAAATCTATATTGTTGGCTCAGACCTGCCTCTCGAGCTCCACATCCATATATCCAATTGCTACTGGATACCTCCACGTCCACTGTGTGTCCCGCAGGCACCTCACATTTCACCAGGTCTAAAAATGAACTCTTAATTTTTTCTCCTTCCACCTCTAACCTCATTATCCTCCCAGATTCTCTTTCAAGGTTAACGGAATCACTGTGCACCCAGCCGGGAATCTTGCATTTTCAACTGTTTCCCTTCTCTCGCCTACTATGCGTAATGCATATGGTCGGCGGGCATGACCAGTTCTTACTCCCAGGTATTTTTTTGAATCTGTGCTCTGCTCTGTGCTCCAGACCAGGTGATAAGCAGGGCTCTACCACCTCTCACCCATGCTAACAGCCAGAACCCCATGTTCCTCCCTTAGGTCTGACCTTCATGAACACATACTTGCCCAGTTACCATCTGCTTTAAAAACCTGTCAAGGCACCGGTTCTTCAGGTTCTGACCTTTGTGACTTCTTCATCCACATCTGCCACCCTGTACTATGTCTTCTGTACTATGTCCCCCCAGATACCAGTGATTCTCATACATACACGCACTTTAAAATTTCTGGGCCTTTGCTCATGTCATTGCTCTCCCCTTGCTTACAAATCAGAGAGAGTCAGGTGGAGCTCTGGGCTCAGAGTGCAAAGGGACAGGAAGGTATTCTGTCGGACACAACCCCTGCTATCTGAAAGCTTCCATGTGAGAATGAGTGTAAGGGCCTTGATGCCTGTGCAGTGGCTGGGGTGGTAAAAACGCAGGCATCCTGCTTTCCTATTTCGCCTCAGCACAAGGTGTTGGGGAGATGCTACAGAGGGGAGGCTTGATAAGAAAGGATCTATTCTCCAGAGAGGGAGTGAGCAGGATCCCTCAGGACACCCCCTCAGACCAGGCAGCTGCAGTGTCCCAAGCCCACCCTGGAGACTAATCCTAAGGCTCTTTTCTTAAAAGCAGCATTAGAGCCCGGCCCATGTGGCTCAGTGGTTGAGCACTGAAATATGAATGAAGCAGGTCACAGTTTGATTCCTGTCAGGGCACACGCCTGAGTTGCAGGCTTGATGCCCAGTAGGGGACATGCAGGAGGCAGCGAATTGATGATTATCATCATTGATGTTTCTGTCTCTCTCTTCCTCTTCCTTCCTCTCTGAAATCAATTATATATAATTTTTAAAGCAGCATTAGATTGCAAAGCACCCAGTGTAGCACTCACAAAGCTTATTTCTCTCAGGAGCAAAGTCTTGCCCATCCAACCCGGTCTATAAAGAGGTAACTTGCTGGAGTCCCAGGTACTGCTTCTAGAACGCCAAGGAAGGCCTTGCCTTCTGCCTTGCAGATCAGGAAGGTGTTGGGCTACAGCAGAAGGGAGAGGTGAAGGTGAGAGGGCAGGTGGAGTTATACAGATTTCCCCACTGACAGGGGAGAAGATATGGCCGGGATGGAGAGAGACCATCCGATGCTCAGGCAGTGTCTGTAGCAGGAAGAGAGTGGCCTTTGGCGTCAGATAGACTTGAGTTTGAATTCCAGCTCCGACACGTGTGGGCTATGTGACCTTCCATCCCTGTGTCCTTATCAGAAAACGGACAGTGATGCTCGCCTCACAGGGATGTTGGAAAGTCCCTAATGCAGCGGTGGATTGGAGAGCAGGCCTTGAAAGTAGGCAATTTCCTTCCCTGTGTTCCCCCATACCTGTGCCTTCCTAGATCACAAAACCACGGGGTGGCAGTGTTGGTCGGGAGCTTTAGAGGGTGGGGCTCTTCCTTCTGATCTGGAAGGAGGACACGTGGACCAGACACACATAACC